ACTTTAAAGGGTATATTACCTTACTTCTGTTCTTTTACTGTGAGAATTACTATTTTATTACCTCATTTGTTATTCTTTACAAACAATCAAGCAAAATTCAGTACAAGTATTTGAGTTTAAAAAAACTTTCCTAGGAGGTGAAATAAAACATCATTACGGAGGAGATATAATGGACATTGAATGCAAGGAGTATTGTTAAAATCTGTGAAAATATAGACTTTTCTCAAAATACATGTACAGAATACTTTTCTGAAACAATTCAAAATACTAGTACGAGTCAATGATAAATGTCAGATGGTGAACGTAATGTAACTATTACGTTTGAGAATTTAAGTTTTAACAAGAGTTGGAAGAAAAATGTTTACTTAGTACAAGTAAATAAAAAAATATCCTGTCATTTACTTTATTTTTGTGTAGGTGTACTATCCACTGATGTTGTCCCAAGAAAATCTTCTTCCAAAGTTTAAAGCAATCTGTGTTGACAAATGGCCAGAGTTTACTTGTGTCTTAGAAGTGGAAAACCTGGTACGTTGTAAAGGTCATCAACTTTGAAGACAGCCGGGCATGTGACTTGCGTCAACCTTTTTTTTTAAAAATTGGTTGTTTTTAACAACCCAGTAATATTTCTAGATGGACAAAATTGATACCGTGTGATCTTCCTATCTTGTTATACAGATTAAAACGTTTACTTATGAAAAGTGTCCTTAAAATGTCTGTGGATAAAATGTTGAGGTAGAAATCTAAGATTGTCGTGAATTTTTAGGCCGATGACGTGTCCCCACACAGAGTGAATGCCTACAGTAAGAGGGAGGAATGTAGTGTTAGTCTACATAGCATGATCTGTCAGCTCCTTCAGAAAACACCATCGGATATCCTGATTTACGGTAACAGCATTCATCGTAAACTACTCAAAATGATTATGATTTTTAGAAATACGAATGTGTTTTAAATACAAAGACGACTTTGATCTTTTATGTACGAGGGTTGTCCTGTTTTGTATTCCGGTACCAGGTGGACCAAGACGAATGAAGGAGATAATTTCTAAGTCAAACGATTCAAACAGCTCTAGGATATCGGCTTCAGGGTGCTGTAAGCATTTCCATAATTTTGTTATTCAAGTCTGATAATTGTAATGTTTTCATTTAATCACTTCACTTTGTGAATGATGTTTTTTCCAAGATATGTTGCTTCGATAATACTGTAATATGTACGGGTATTTTTTGTCTCTTTTGCAATCCATGGCTTTTCGGTCCTCAGTGCTTCCCACAAAGCCATCTGCATCAATATCTCGCCAAAGGGATTTTTAAAACTCTTTACAACTTACTGAATTTTTATGCAACATACGCTTAATGCCACGTCATAGAAATATGACGTTACCGTTTCCCAGAAAATTACTTCCCTTATTTTATGAGTTTAAAGCAAGTATAAAATAGAAGGAATTTTGCAATAAATTGAAGATAAAATTAACTTTTTAAAGTGCGGAAAATGCTGAAAAGATCTGATTTTGCGTTAGAAATAGGAAATAGTATATGCGTTAGAATGCGTGACTGCGGGGAAGGGGGTTAGTATATGAACGTATTTGAACTTACGTACCGTATAGGTAGAATTTTTAGCGAGGATCTAATGGTGGCATTATTAGCGAGGGTTCTGAGATCGCTATATATATCACTAAAAATAAACAGTCTTTAATTTGTAATAACTTCTTTAGTGATCATTTTAAAATCGCTAAAATTTTGTCCCGCTAAAAATAATTAAATTACCATATTTTAAGGACAAATTGCTAAATTTGCGTCTCGTTAAAATTTCCACTGATACGGTATATGAGGACTTTCCTTCGCGATTTTCAGACTCCGCAAGTCTTTAAGCCGATTTATTATTAACAATTACTTTCTTTTTGCGATTTCCAAATACCACTAAAATTGTTGCACGCAATGGAAAGTTAGTCCAAAATGCATGTATTTGATCAGTTAGTTAAATCAGTTAATCAACATTGAAGAATACATTTATCATTAAAGGAACTGTAAGTGAATCTTAATATTAATGTTCTGATTTCATTTGTTTAAACAAAACATAGGTGGATCCAAGAGTGTTCAGGGAACTGAGCCCACAGATTTGCTAATTCACAATGCCTACAGAGTATCCAAAGATACCTTAAAGAAAAGGTAGATTATTTTCCCCCTTTACATTTATCTAACAATTTATATCCGAAAACCATTTGTTTTATAACTCTTGTTTCTTTTTGCTTTTGAATTTTTGTAGTGAAGTACCTCTACATTTTTCTGTCACAACAATTAAGAAAGAACACATGGATTTAATCCTAAGTAAATGGAAGCACTCAGAAATTTTCAGTGATGCAAAGGAATTCTTCACACATACAGCCACCTCTTTGGAATCCGTGTGCATCCTCAACGAATCAGGAGAACCAGTGGCATGGGGCTTTGAACAACACTACGGAGCGATCGGGATGGTTTACGTATTACCAGAGTATCGGAGGAAGAAACTTGGAAGTGTCGTAGTTTCTATTCTGTCGGAGAAAATTCTAAGAAAACATGCCTTTGTGTACGCAGCTATTGAAACAGAAAACACAGGGTCTATTTCATTTCACAAGAAGCTTGGATACGAGGAATGTGACATACTAGTATATCCTGAGTGTATCTTTAATTGGTTTCTTTATGAGAAGGAAAAGAAAGGAACAACTAAATGCTGTCAGTAATAGTATATACAAGCCATAATTATACATCTCAGCTAAAGAAGTTAATAAATTTACTTATGAAAAAGATTTTTGATATTTAAAAAAATTACATGTTTAATTGCTTATATCTCTTGATTGATTCGATATTCAAGATGAAACATATGGAGATAACAAACAGTAATCAAGATCAAAAGTCCATAAAACAGTAAAATATAGGAGCAGAGCAAACACGGACTCTAAAACATCAGACGTGGGATCAGGTGCCCTGGAGGAGTGAACATCCCCTACCGACCGGTCACACCGGCTGTGTGCTCCTTGTCATGATCGGGAAATAACGGAAAAATCCGTTGTCAATTCAGTGTATAAATAATTGACTATCAAAAGGTATGACAAACGCGTCAGTCAACATGCATTTGAATCAATGATAAATGGTATTTGCTGACAGGGTCAGTGTATCGACCATAGAACTAACGAAATTATGACTTTAAACGAGACTGCTGAAATCCTTTTTAATCAACTTGTTTGTAAACATTTTACCTCGCTTTAGAAATTGTTCATACGTAGAGCATGCTCTTGAGTATCGAATCAACTAAGATATATAAACTCCGTTTACAAGTGATGAATGTATATTGCTGCATAAGTAAGGAAAGTTGACATCACGTTTATCATAGAGTTTGGTTGTTAGATTACCATTAACGTCCCTTTGAAGTACAATATCGGAATCCAAATATGAAACAGAGGTGTCAGACTCGGTGATATCTTTTATCTCAAGCTTACCAAGATATATCATATCGACATAAGAATGGAAATTACCCATGTTAATTGACAATACGTCGTCGATATATCTAAATATCGAGTTGAATGCCACAGCAAGTGTTTCTTCTTTTCAGGCATAAGATTTTGCACAAATTTTGCTTCATACAAAAATAGGTCTGCTAATAACGGGGTGCAATTGGTACCCATGGGAATTCCAATAGATTGTTGGCAGACCTGGTCTCCAAAAACGACATAGATATTGTCAATCAGAAACTTAAGCATCTTTTTGATGTAAACTTCAGAGTACTTGTGTACAATGAGATTGTTATACCCCCTTCCACTTGAAAAGCGGGAGGGTATATAGTAATCGGTATGTCCGTCCGTCCGTCTGTCTGTTACGCTTTGGGGTACCCATCTCTTATCCACAACTCCTCTCATACCACTGAATGAAATTTAATGAAACTTTCACAGAATCTTTATTACATATTGCCACTCATTATTGCACCTCCTATTTTACTTTTTGGTCCGACACTCATTTAGGGTTTCCCATAGCAAAACATGGACACTGCCATTTTATACATATGGGAAGCTGGGGTTATTATTTAGTGAGCTCTGACATTGCTCACAGCAGCTCTAGTTTTTTAGCAAAATGATTTTGCAAATGACCAATGACAAGGTAAGTAAATTTACGAGTTCCATGATAGTCAATGATCTCAAAAAGCCTGGACTTTAACTTATCGTGGGGAATGGTTGTGTATAAATTTAAAGTTGAAAAGTCGTAAGTTTTTAAGCTGTTGATTTTGGTAAAATTTTGTCATTTCAAATTGTCTCGGCAGGAGTCTGAACCCATGACCTTCCGATCACGGAAGGAGCGCTTTGCCGATTGAGCTACCGACACTGTTCTGACTTAGTAAAGACAGAAGTTTGTTTTCTACTATTATTTTACAAAAAGTAACCCTTTTTAAGTAAATAAGATTTTTTTTCAATGTTGAAATTTTGCTATTGTGTCCAAAGAGAAAAGTTTGAACTCTGTTATTACAAAATATATTTAAAATTCTGCCCTTTAAAATAAACTTATGGTTAATTTATCCAAAATCTTATACATTTACTATATAGCTTTACTGGTATGTTTTTTACATTTTGAAGTGGAAACCAATAAGCTAAAACTTGATTTCAATATTATTCAAATGCTACGAAGTGAAATAAAGTGAAAGTCATTCATATGATACTGTAAAAATGGATTACAGGGAATTCGATATACAGATATGAGTACATCGACATCAAATTTTAACATTATCATGTTTCATCTATAGATTTTTTTCTTTATAATGATTCTGTAATGCACATTGCAGTATTTGAATAGTGGACTTTAAATCTATTCTCTGCATTGCAGTTATACAAACAAGACAAGAAACCTTAATTGTATACTCCAATTCGCGAACATATTTGTGAAAACTTGTGTGGATTTTTTTCTCAAAATAATCTATAATGTTTGATAGTGTTGAAGGAATATATATTGTGTGCAAAATAACTTCGACATTATATTCTTATAATGGATTTTACACTTCCAAAATGTAAGGACCATCCAAATCATACTTGTGAATTCTTGTGCAGGCAATGTAGAGCTGTGATTTGTGGTAAATGTCTTATCAATTCCCACAACAAGCATTTCATGGAAGATCTTGAAGATGTCTGGAAATCAAAGAAAGAGATAATTGAGAAAGATCGTGAAGTCGTTACACTTTATCGCGATCTTGAAGAGAATATCGCTTTGGAGGAGGAAGAAATGAAAAAGAAATACGAATCCATAGAAAATGACATCATACAACATGGAAAAAGGCTTGAAGAAGCTGTAAGGAAAGCCAAAGATAGTTATCTGGAAAGGTTAACCGAGAAAAAGAAAGAAGAGTTTATACTCCTGAAGAAACAGAAAGATGTCATCAAAAACAATTTAGAAAAAGTTCGCAAAATGGATCTTGTTATACCAGATAGTCGCAGTACCAGTGAAGAAATCCTCGCCTTCTGTACGTTAGACGTTAAACCTCTACCTGAGGTGCCGAAACTTAAAAAGACATCACCTCCAGATTTTGTTCCAAATATGAACTTGTTGGAGGGAATAACCGAAAATTTTGCAAACCTAGCAATTTGATTTGCCAAATTTATGACAAGAATTGGTGGATAAAGAGGAATTTGTTTCTTTTCGTTTTAAATTTTAAATTTTAGAGTTTAATGAATCCAGCTGACAAAGTTTGTAACAAATAATTAATTTTTTTTGTATTGTTAATATTACAAAATAAAACTTGCTTTTAATTCAAGATTTGCATGTTTTGAATATTGGGTGAAAAAAGTAACTAACATGGGGATAAGAGGGGGACCATTGTTTAAAACATACATTTTAATCCCTGATGTATCATTTAATAGCATCAACACATTCATTTGTTTTTAATTGAAAACCTTAAATGATAATCAAGGAAATTTTCAACTGTAAACTTCAACACTTAAACAGCAATGTACCTTCAGAGGGTTTAATGATTCCAGCTTTTTACAAAGTTTTTTTTAAAACGAGATATAACAAATACATAATATATTAAAAGTTTTCTTTTTTATACACTATGTATTGTTAATATTACAAAATAAAACTTGCCTTTAATTCAAGATTTGCAAGCTGTTGTGAATATATATGGGATAATTTTCATTTTATCAAACCACATAATTACAATATGATTAAATATAACTTTAACGAAATACTGAGTGGATTTAAAGATATTTTTTGTGAGCATTTTCAATTACATAATAATTGACAATTATACGGAGGTAACTATTTTTTTAAATACTAGTATTGTAAAAATGGGAATTACGTTTATACATGACAGCTTTAGTAATAACTCAAGCAACAAACATTTTACTTTTTAACTTTTTCTTAGTTTCAATGAAATGTTGTAGTTTTCTACCCTTTATATATACCATTAGTCAAACTTATAAATTTATTCAAAGTCTTAGTATTTACTGAAACATCTTTGTTTTAAAATAATTCCAATATATTTTATAGAAATATTTTAATTGAAAAAGACGTGTATTTGATATACCAGATATGAGTGTATGGACTAACAACATTATCATGCATTATATATAAACAAGATGGTTTTAATTTTTCAGCGGAAGACCTTCTTGTCAACTTTTATTATTATTATTATTATTCTTTTTTTTCCTACCTATACAGAAACTTTCAATATACCTTCAGCACCTGCATTTTTTTCGGGGTTTATATTTCTCGGTTCCGATTGTCGATTTTATGATTTTTGAAGAGCATGCCCTACGGCTATAGAATAAAATTTCTATGATAGTCGATGATATTTTTATTACAAACAAGTTGCTGAATTTCAAAAATTTTACCACCTTTTCTACGATACCTTTTTACCTGGAAATATTTTGTTGAAACATGTAGAACAAAAGAAGTGTAGAATTCTCTTTCAAATAAGTTCTAAAATGGTCGATATCAATGACCTTGTTCATCAATTATGATTTATTTTTTGCCGTTCTTTATTTTTGGGTAAAGCATAAAAATTAATTTTCCGCTGAATGATGTTTTTCATACTAATTGTTTTAGGCCATTATATACACTTCTAAATTGTCGCATGGATTTTCCGTTATTTTGTACAGGCGATTTCTGACAAGCATTTTTTCATGAAACTTTCACAAAATATGTGGGTTATATGAAATTGTTACATCCGAAGAGAAATTTGAAAAATTCTCTTCTGGTGCCAAGTTATGCTTTCACTCCTCCATGGCACCTCATTCCACCTCTGACGTTTTGGAGGTCCGTGTTTGCTCTGCTCTTTTGTATTGTTAAATGGACTTGAAAACTATTTGTTATATCCATATACAATGTATTTCATCAATTCAGCTGTCTGTAGCCCACCTGGCAACTATGCCTAGGTATTCACTTAAGGCAGTGCTACACAATCTTCACTTGCACCCAGGTAGTCCTTGCATCACATAGGGTATGCATAGAAAAAAAACTAGAAGTAGTATAGTGAAGTTTGTATTTGTCGCCCTTTGGTGAAAGATATTGCCCTACGAATATAAACTACACAATATCATATTTGATTTAAGGTCCATTGCTAACTGACATCATGCATGTAATTTGCTTACTAAATGTTTAAACCAGATATTAAGGTAAATTAACAATTAAGGTACACAGTCTGCTACACGAGAAGAGTCTCGACCTATGGAATGGTCTGTGGTACCAGGAGACAAAATTATACCTATTTTTAAAAAGACTTTTCTGCTCATCATAAGATGTAAATGATTGGCTGTTTGATGTCTATAAACGTTGAATAAAATTTTCAGAAGTGTTAAGAATTACAAATTTGACCAAATTATCCGTCCCTTGGGTCTGAACCCTAGACTTGGGGAGGGGGATATGAATTTAACAGATAATGATATAAGTAACTGAGTCTTAACAAGAAAAATTTGATAAAAAACGGTAGGGAAAGAACTATATTTAAACTCTTCTGTTTATTGATTTTTTCCACAACATTGGTCTTGTAAATGCGCACTAAAGCATTTGAATAGACACTTTAAATCTATGTCTATGTACCTTATTTAAACAATTTTGAATTGACGCATAGAAGATAAGGTCTCAATGTCGCTCTGGTTAATTTTTTTCTAGAAACTTCTAGAACAATTAAAAATTGCGTTTTCAAAATTAAAACCAATGAATAATCATCGTTATTTTGTGGACTTTCTGCACTGAAGAAATTATAAATATTTCACAAAGAAAATGGAAATTACTCTACCAAAGTGCAAGGCTCATGAAAGCCATACTTGTGAATTCTTTTGCAAGCAATGTGAAGCCGTGATTTGTGGAAAATGTCTCGTGAGTTTCCACAAAAAACATGAAGTGGAAGACCTGGAAGATCTTTGTAAATCTAAGGGGGAATTAATCGCCAAAGAACATGATATGGTGAGAAACGCCATTTCCCTGTATCAACAACTGGAAATGGATATAGCTGTCGAAGAGCAAGTCATGAAAGACCAATACCGTATCATCGAAACTGATATCGTAATCCATGCAGAAAAACTGGAGGCAGCAGTCAAAAAAGCTAAGGAGCAATTCCTTGAACAAGTGATAGAAAAACGAGTGGATGATGTTTTACTCTTAGAACAACAAAGAAAGGACGTCATAAGAAACTTAGAAGAAGCCAGAAGCATGGAACTTTTTCTGCCAGACAGACTCGATACATGTGAGAAAATACTCTCTTTCTGTAAGTTAGAGGTGAAATCCTTACCCCCAGTGCCCAAACTTCAGAGGATATCGCCGCCCGAATTTGTTCCTGACACCGATCATTTGGAGAGAATAAACGATCATTTTGGAAATCTCGTGATTTGATCTACACTGCAACCAAAGAACATTTTCAACAATGTAAATTTAGCATTGGGAAACAAAAATAAAGATATGAATTATATTTCAATACGTAACATAGATTAGTGATAGGCATGCAATTAGTGATAGATATATTGAATCCGTGGCCATTATATTTTTATCCAAATATTTACTAAAATTTAAAAAAATCTAAATAAATATATTTTTGAAAATGAATTGTTTAGATCATTTAAAAAAATATTTCATGATTTTGATTGCAGATTTATCGACAGTAAATTTGTATATTTTACATTTATTACAGCATGATGATATTATTGTTTCATCAACTTTTTTGTCATTCTTAAGCCTCGTTTTAAAAAAATTTGTACGCAGAGCATGCTATTGCGTATATCGAATTAACCAGACATTTATTTCAGTGAAATGAAACATATGGAAATAACGAACAGTATTCAAGATCAAAACTCCTTATATAAAACAATACAGAATAGGATCAGAGCAAACAAGGACCTCCAAAACATCTGAGGTGGATCAGGTGCCATGGAGGAGTGAGCATCCCCTGCTGACCGGTCACACCCACCGTCTGCTCCTTGTCACGATCGGAAAATAACGGGAAAATCCGTCGGTGTATAAATAATGGACTAAGAATTAGTGTGAAAAACGCCCGTAGCATTTGACTCAGTAATAATTTGTATTTGCTGACAAGGTCATTGTATCGACCATGATAGAATTTACGAAATTATGACTTTGAACGAGACTGCTGGTATTTTTGAATTGTTTTATCAAGTTGTTTTTCAATAATTTACCTCGTTTAAGAAATTGTTCATACGTAGAGCATGCTCTTGCGCATCGAATCAACTGAGATATAAACTCCGTACGCAGGTGATGAAGGTATATTGCTGCATAAGTCGGGAAGTTGACGATTTAAAAGTTAAAGTCATCACGTTTATCATAAAGTTTGGTTGTTTGATAACCATTATCGTCTTTTTCAAGTAGTATATCCAAATATGAAAAAGATGTGTCAGACTCTATGGTATCTTTATCTCAAGTTCACCGGGATATATCGTATCGACATAAGAAAGGAAATTGCCATTGTGAATTGAAAATATGTCGTCGATACATCAAAATGTCGAGTTGAAGGTCACTCCAAGTGTTTTCTTCTTTTCACGCATAAGATTTTAGACAAATTCTGCTTCATATGAATACAAAAATAGGTCAGCTAATAACTGGGCGCAATTGGTACCCAGGGAAATTCCAATAAATTGTTGGAAGACTGGTCTCCAAAAACAACAAAAACAACATAGATATTGTCAATCAGAAACTCGGACATATTTTTGATGTCATCTTCAGAATACTTGTGTGTACATTCAGAATGTTTTTTAACAAAATAAAATAAAATAATAAAATGATTTTGCAAATGACCAATGACAAGGTATGTAATTTTACAACTTCCATTCTTATTGAAAAAGCAACTGACAATGATATCAAAAAGCCTGGACTTTAATTAATTGTGGGGAATAGTTGTGTATAGAGTTCAAAAGTTGAATATATTGTCGCACAGTACTCTTGAATTTTCTCCTTCACTAATGTTAATATCTTAGTGAGGAGTAAAGAAATAGGCTTGATTGAACATTTACTGGAACCCGCTATGTATCTTTGTTTGTAAGGATTTTTATGAAGTTTCGGAATCCAATATAGATATGGTAGTTCAAATTCATGATGGTTCTTTGGGATATACAAAATATTCAAAATTGACATATGATTTTGAACAATTTCTTCCCGCTATGTATCTTTGTTTGTGAGGGTTTTTATGAAGTTTCGGAATCCAATAAAGATATGGTAGTTCAAATTCATGATGGTTCTTTGGGATATACAAAATATTCAAAATTGACATATGATTTTGAACAATTTCTTCCTTAGAAAGGGAACGATGAGTATAAGTTGGATTACCACTTGTATAATTAAATCCAAATTCTTCTAAAATGCAATTATATATAAATAATGTGCCTTACAAACGAAGAATGTTGTTACCTGCTGTCTGCAGTCTGCAGGGCCCAGTATGTACTGATCATATAATCTATCTAATACTTTTTTCACTTCTTGGCTATTGAATACAGAATGATATTTGGTTTTTATATTGCCCCTCAATCTTTTAATACGCGACTGTAACATGGATCTGATACATTTAATCCATTATGACAAAGTGTCAACGTCTTTTTCATATCTGGCCCATCGCCTGGCGTAATCTTCTACAGAATCCATAATATTTAAGAAATTCCGACGCCATGCAGTTGAAGGATCGGGGTTCCCGAGCATTAAAATAAATACTAATTTGCATATGAAACAGAGAGCCCAGCAATACACTGATATTACTCTCCAATTGCATTGAATGATTGTTTACTGGGATGGCATTTGTAATAAGCAACAATACGTGGTCAGTCAAAGCCATTGTCGGCTTCTCTTTCATACGAAAAATAGTATCGTTTTCATTGAAGTTAAACATGCAGTAGATGATCGAGAAATATTGTGATCAATGTATAAAACTTTAGCAAGCTTGATCAAACAAAGTGGCATGCTGTTACTGGAATGATAGTTAATATAATTGTTAATTGATAATACGCCGTCATATCTAAATGTAGAGTTGAAGGCCACAGCAAGTGTTTTCCTCTTCTCATGCATAAGATTTTGAAGAATTAATGCTTCATATGAATTTTGAATAAATAATGCTTCATATGAATACAAAAAGAAGTCTTCTAAAAATGGAACTCAATTGGTACCCATGGGAAATCCAACGGAATGTTGGAAGATTTAAATCCAAAAACTACATACATGTAGTTATTGTCAATCAGAAACTCAAACATCTTTTTTAGATATCAATTTCAGAGTATGTGATTAAACCCAATCAGAAATAATTTTGAAAATGACGAATGGCAATGTAATTAAATTTACGAGTTCCATTTTTTAAAAGGCAGCTGTCTATGACGTTAACTTTAGCGACTTTAATTCATCGTGAGAAAAGGCTGTATCAAGTGTTGAAAAGCCGTACGTTTTGATATTGTTGGTTAAATGTTAAGATTTTAGATTGAGGATGTTTTAATTTTGTAGCGAGAAACTTGGGTGATTTTAACATACTTCATCTCGTATCCCGCCATAAAACAATTACAAGACGTCAATGGGCGACATCGCTCAGCTGAGCACTTGGCTAGGGGGAAACAAAAAACAAAAATCAATCCAGTATTGAAAAGCTTAAATGCATATAAGTGGCCCCGTCCTATCCCTAAAAGAGGGAAGGGGTACGATTTGAATAAACTTGCATATTCCCATGTAAAAATTTGTTCTTTCATGGTGGCCCAACCATACCCCTGTGGGTCATGATTTGAAAAACTTGATTGCACACCACATGTTTCTGAGGATATTTCCGTATAAATATAACCAATCACAGCTTTGTTGTTCTTATGAAGAGATTTTTATAGCTTTTTCCTGTATAATCCTAGGTAAAACGTTGATCATCTATTGTGGCCCCATCCTACCCCCGATTTGAAAAAAAACTTGAAACTACACCACCAGAGGATACTTCCACATTAGTTTCATCTTCCCCGGCCAAGTGGTTCTTGAAAATAAGACTTTCAAAACATGCCACCAATTTTTCACTATTTCTTAATTATATCCCCTTAAAAGAGGATGTGCCCATCATTTGAACAAAATTGAATCACTCAAGGATGCTTGTAGCAAGTTTTGTTGAAATTGGCCCAGTGGTTCTGGAGAAGAAGTAGAAAATGTGAAAAGTCGACAGATGGGCGGACAAGCGGACTAGAGAAAATGGTGATCAGAAAACCTCACATCGTGAAACTGTATTTATCAGATAATCTATGTTTTGCAATTGCAAATGATTGTTTTCAGTGTTAAGTATAGTTTACGGTTGTGAAACATAGATTATCGCGTTAACTATGGTTTACGGATGTAAAATATAGATTAACGTTGTTAACTATAGTTTACAGTCCGTAAACTATAGTTTACAACCGATAAACCTAGTTTATCGACTGTGAAACTATGTTTTGCTCATTTTTGTGAATTTGGCGTGCCATAGACGTGAATCTATGTTTAACAACAAAATCTATTGTTAACGTTTTATTACAGACAGATAAACTTAGATTAGTATTCGTAAACTATAGTTAACAACCGTTAGATATAGTTTTACAGATGAAAACTATACTTAAAGAATTGTTACATATAGTTTACGGTTTGTAAACTATAGTTTACAGTTGATAAACCTAGTTTATCAATTGTGAAACTATGTTTAGCACACCAAATTCACAAAAATGAGCTAATCATAGTTTCACAGTTGATAAACTAGGTTTATCGGTTGTAAACTATAGTTTACGGACTGTAAACTGTAGTTAACAACGCTAATCTATATTTTACATCCGTAAACCATAGTTAACGCGATAATCTATGTTTCACAACCGTAAACTATACTTAACACCGAAAACAATCATTTGCGATTGCAAAACATAGATTATCTGATAAACACAGTTTCACGATTTGTAAACTATGGTTTACAACATTTAACTATAGTTAACGATCGTAAATTATAGTTTACAGACGTGAATCTATGTTTATCAACAAAATCTATTGTTAACGTTTTATTACAGACAGATAAACTTAGATTAGCATTTGTAAACTATAGTTAACAACCGTTAGATATAGTTTTACAGGTGAAAACTATACTTAACGAATCGTTAACTATAGTTTACGGTTTGTAAACTATAGTTTACAGTTGATAAACCTAGTTTATCAATTGTGAAACTAGGTTTAGCCCATTTTTGTGAATTTGGCGTGCCATACTTTAGCGTTTCTGAAAACTTCAGTAAGAAGGGATCACTTCAGTTTGACACGTTGATGCACCCCATTCTCGAGTTTTTCACTCATATAGAGACGTCACCATATACAATATACTGGAGAAGGGTTTCAAATTTTTACTTTTACTCTGCACTCCAGGCCATGGAGCAATGAGAGATCTTTATTGTCTCTTTATTGCCTACACCTACCATGACAAGGGGCCTGGGTTTTTAAGGTCTCATCTGAAAGGACCCACAGCTTTCACTTCAAAGTGCTTGGCATTGCTTTATGTCAGAAAATATTGCTTGTGTAAGAAAGAGGATTACTTAATACACAAATATGGTCCCAGGATCACAAAACTTTTGACAGAAATTCAGTAATTTATATAATATCTGGAATTAGCTAAATACAGGTGGTTGTGAATCGGCAATGACATGTTTGACCATATTTCTGATTATATTTGTTAACAATATATTCAGATTCTGAGGAAATCCACTTCAGCATTTTCTTTTAATTCTTCCCTGAAATATTTTTTGCCAAACACTGGAATCATTTTTTTTTCTTCTTGAGATACCTTGTAGACAGAAACAAAAACCTGAATAAAACAGTCTACTTGTTAAATGCTCTTCACTTGACTTCCATGTCAATAAAATGAAATCAAATCCAATAAAATCAATATATATAGGTGATCATTTTTTCATTTAACTTCCTTTTATTAATAAAAAAAACTACTCACAACCAGTATATGTGAACTAAAAATAAAAATACACATACATGTAATTGCACCAGTCATGACAATACAGATACAAATAGGAAAGTTTCTTAGGTTAATCTAGCATACACAGATCCTAACCTTCCATACATACAGTTCCATACTCTAATGTACAATTAAATGTACATGAAGAATTTTACATGTATCTATTTCTAAAACCATATAATCAAATTTATCACTCCAATCATTTCTAAAACAATATTATTCACATCATTAAATTGGCATTTATATGTTTCATCTTACAAGAGAATTTTATCAAAAAATGAAACACATATCTTAAACATAATCATTTTTTAAAAATTTCAAATGACCAATCTTTATTTCCATTAAAAAATCTATATTTGTATTGGGTGTATGTACATGTCATTAATTTAAAATCAGCCTACCTTTTAATTTTTATTTCTTTGTTAATTCAATGTATGTTTTCTATTTGATCTAACTTTTTACTTCTCACAATGAAAACAGGAAGTGACCAACACTGCAGTATTCCAGTCTGTGATCAACAGGCATCTCTCCAAATAATGGTCAAAATGCAGGTGCTTGAACACCGTTCAATAAAGCTGTTAATGGGTTTTTTTCTTTCTAGCTATGTAATGCCAGTGTAAGCCAGAATTGTATGCCAACCTTTAGTTCTAAAGTGGGCCATATCCAGCATTCATCAAAGCATCCTCCTTTGGAAGATAAAGAAAAGAAAAATTAACAAACTGTTTCAAAGAATTACGGAGTTGTTGATTTTTACATTGCAATGATCTTTTGGATTTTTTTAAAAAATATTTAAGTCACAAGAAGCTTTAAGATAAATAACAATAACAATCTATAGTCTTCAAAAATATTAACAAGGTTAGAAAAACTTTTTACAAATAGAAAATATCTTTCCATCAAATCTCTAAAAATTACCATTGGAAATATTCCTAAGTGCACTGACCCCACTTGTGTGATAAAAGTGATAAAGGGTTAGGGCATATATTGTTAATGTGAAACAAAGAAATGTTAAAATGTACATATTACAAGTGTGTGTTTCAAATTGTAGTGTTGTACATGACAATTATTATTACAGTAAAACTTGCTAACAAGGGATTCAGTTAATTTAAATAATTTTTGGTTATAAGGAATAATTTGGAATTTTTCTGTCATTCTTTTCATAAATCGCAGAGAGAAACTTGACAATTAGAAGAATACTTAGTTGCAAGGAATTCCACTATTTAATAGTGATTTGCTCCTTTTTAAGGTGATCTATAAGAAAGTTGATGTCAGCCGGTTAACCCCTGAATATTTTGTCTAAATCTACTCAGCTTTCCCATACAATAAAAGTGTACAGTTACAAGTACATAAAGTATACTTAAGCTGTTGTATACATTGTACAACTTTTAGCACTGGAATTTTTTTCTACGTGTATCAACAAACAGTAAAGCATGCTAATAGCGAACATGCTTATAATGAATTGACATTTACAGCAAAGTGATTTTCATTCCCCATGACTAAATACAATTTCAAACATAATGGATATAATGAATTAGACTTGTAACTATGCAAAATTGTCCATCCCTGGCACTTTGCTATAAGTGTATTTTACTCTGTATACTCAATTTCTCCTTAATGCTGAGATGTATAGTACCTCAAAAAAATACTTTATAAAAGTTTAACAGTGTTTGTTTTTAAAAGTGGAAATGTTATGGAAGTAATTTTAAAAGATAATATGTATCCATAAATCCTTAAAGTTAACAACATCAAAATGCCAATATCTGGAGTATAGACAGTGGTAAATGTGTATATCTAATAATGATAGCCATGAAATTTATGAATTGTCTGATTTTTGCAGTGTGCTTGACATCAGGATTTAGAGCTTATTAAAGGGACCAATCCATTTTTTTTTTTACTTATATGTCTTTCCATAGAGAAATATTTTTTATCAGGAAGAGAAAGGTGCATACACAACATCACAATGATTCATACCCAAGAAAAAAAAATTAAAATGAGTTGACCTAAAATAAATAATTATCAACTATAAAACAAACCATTGCATACAAGATAATATTTCATTTAAATATTATGCCAAAGAACAGACGTTGAAAATGTAAAATATCAATTTTTAAAACAACTGGGGTCCATCGCGTATTCAAAATGTTGGTTTTATCATTAGATTTCAACCAAAATTTAAACTAGAGGCTACTGTGAGCTCAGAAAAAGAAGTTCCCTGCTCCCATAAAAGTCACATGGCAAAGTTCATGGTTTATAAATATTTGTCTGATTAAAACATAAAGCGGAGTTACACAATGGCACTATGTAATAAAGATCCTGGGAAAGACTCATTATTCAGTAGTAAAGCCTGTAAAGGAGGAGTTGTGGATAAGATGGGTACCCCCTAGTGTAACAGACAGACAAACTGGTAGATGGGCACCTCCATCACTATATCCTCCCACTTTTTAAATATTGAAATAAGGCATTAAAGTTAAAATTTATAATGAGCTGTAGGATTTTTGACAGTAACAACTTAAAAATGCAAAATTAAAAACATTCTATATGTAAAAAAAAATCTCAAAATATGCTTTCCCCCTCAAATTAGGAACAAATACAAACCACAAGATTGTAGAAGGTTTTTGTGATGAGGTCATCAAAGAACTTCTGTTCTGTGGCATACACTGAACTGTTGGTCCCCAGTTTCTTGTATTTCTGCTCCAAATTATCCACCACAAAGTTGGAGATTTTCTTGGCATTCTTTGGTGGTGGTTTCCTCCCCTGAAGGTATGTGGACTGAGTCCCCGCAGCTTCTAACAGGTACTTAAAGGTCTGTAAATCACAAGTCAAAACATTACTTGTCATATTTATGTAGAGACACTTACCATATATAGCTTTGCTTGTTCCTAAATCAAACTCTTAAGAGCTTTTGCAGAATCACCTAATTCCTCTATTATCTGAATATCTTCATACACAAAGTTGCTTTGAAAACTTCTGGAGTTTGACTTCATTAAACAGCCTTATTTATAGAATCAATGTACATTAATCATAAAACTGTATGTAAGTCAATTCAAAATGTTCATTATTCAACAGAGACTTACAGGGTTTACAGGTAATTCATCTTGTTCAAAATGACCATCCCACAGTGAGACAGTCAAGCTGGCATTGGGCTGTAGGAAAGACATAACCAAGGTTAATTTTGATAAGACATTTAAAAATCAAATTTCACAGTATAACAAGAGTTAAAATCTATCCAAAAACATATATAAATACATGAAACAGTAAAAACTGACAGTGTAAAAAGCCCACTTGTAATCAGGAAGCTAAAAGAAATTTTCCACATCTAGGTATTTCTAAAGTGATAGGAAAACTTTTGTTCCGTTAGAGCCCTCAATACTGAAAATATTTTTTATTTGCAAGCAGGAAACTTTATTTTCTGGTAATTACATGAGATGGTCTGTTTGAAAAATTTCATTTTCATGTATGTTTTTATTTGCGTAGATTATAAACAATACCAAAAATTCATGAAAATTCTGTCTGGCCTATAAATACCAAATATGGTGCATGTACTATCTGTCTCTTACAAAAATTTGGATATATACAGTACTACAGTACTTCATTTACCCTGTATTATCATTCCAGTAAAGTTTGTGAAGGATGAACAAATAAACACTTTTTTGTAGGCTTTATCAGATTATCTGTTATTTATTTTTGATAAAAGCCCTTTGCAAATAACATCTGACAATACATTTATGTAAATTTAAAAAGGGTTAACTTTATAAGTTACTGAAACATGTCTAACTTCTCTTTAAGAAGCTAAAATCATCAATGACTTAGTGAATAACTGAATCATTACCATTTTCTGGGTTTTCTCCCACTTCCATGATTGAATTACATTTTTGGCATTCCTTTGAGTGAACTCCTGTACAATTCCTACCGGTGGCTTTCCTTTGAACAGGGGAACCTCATGTGTTCCCGAGGCTACACAGTTTCTAAAGAAAAAAAAATATCACCACAATTAACAAAAGTGATTTAAACAAAAGTATTTGTTCAAAGGAAGATACAAGTAATTTCCAGAATGCCAACATATACATTGGGGAGCCAAGTAATACATTTGACTTGTGCTCCTTTTCTTATGATACAGCGTATCTACTGTAAAATCACATATTTTCATGGGGTCAAATTTTCATGGTTGAAGGAAAAAATGTGGATGAACATTTTAGTAGTTGTACATATGAAAATTTCCATTTCGTGGTGGACATGAATTCGTCTATTCATACCTCAAAAACAACGAAAATTAAACACCCACGAAAATTAGTGATTTCACAGTACTTTATGCAGGTATATTCAGTAAGTATAAATTGCTCACCCCTCAAACATGGGCACTACCCCCCAGGCCAGGATCTGTTCATCCCCCAGAACCAGGTCCCCGTTCTTTATGGAGTGGAGGGTTCCTGGTACATCATGTTCTGGTTTCATCCGGTAAATCAGGTCCAAACCAAACAACTGAATAATCAGGCAGGAGTAATTGTCATAGAAAGGGTGTAACAGCTGAAAATATTAAAATATCAATAAATAATACACCATCACAGCATTAATCAAACTGGCAAAGATGCACATTTTCAATGCCTAAATTCATATCCAAAGGTCAATTACTTTGGAAGAAAATGGTTTTCTGGAAAATACTGCAGTAAGATAATTTTTTATCTTTGCAAATTTAAGAAATTTAAATTTGAAAAGGAGACCATTCTACCTGTAATTTTGTGTTTCAGACAAAACTTGTTAGTGATACTCAACAGGAAAATAACCCTCCTATAATCATTCCCATTTAAATCCTTTAAATCTAAATTTACTTTAGTTAAAATCTGCATAAAAACTGAGAGTAGATACCATATACGCAGAATGTTTAGCAAGGATTTAATTTTGGCATTATTAGCGAAGGTGTTGAGATTGCTAAATTGAATTAATTAAAAATTAATTGTATTTTTGTATTTGTATTAGCTATTTTTAGTGAGCATTTTGAAATTTCTAAAATTACATCTCGCTAGAAAAAAATACTAATTTTTAAGGACAAATCGCTAAATTTGCCTCTCCTTAAAATTTCCACTTATACAGTATTAGAAGGTATTAGGCAAAAATATCCTACATCCAAAAGATAATCTTTTGCAACAGACAAATTTCACTTAAAATTTCGTTATAATAAAATACATTACATTTGATTTTAAAATTCTTTATATACATTTTAAAATCTTACTTTGTGGTCATCAAGAAATTTAGGAGCAATTTGGAAGCTGTCATAATCATGCTTCAGTGTGACAAACTTTTCTTCCTTTCCGTACCCCTCTGGAGTCTCCTCCATATCTAGCACCTTCTCTCCCGGGGAGACCCGAACAAAGCAGTGGACGTAGTAGCCATCTAAAGAGGGTGGGAGTGGCAGGTCATTATAAAGAATCTTACAATGTAAACAAATCATCTGATTCTGACAGATCCAATATTAACTTCATGTGCCAGTATAATAATATTTTGGAAGCTTTGTTCCGAATTCTCATGCTTACGATTCTATTGGTTGGAGATAATTACCTGGTAGTCCATAGGCCTGGACCACTCTGGCATTGAGCCCCATTTTGACCCTGTACCTGACAGACTGAGCCAGAGGAAGGTTGTCAGCCACCGCTTTAGCTCCCTGTTTTTTAACATCCAGCTGATCCTGAAGCCATTGTAGTAACGCATCGTCTTCTTCATCTGTTGATAAACAAGCAAATTAATGCTAATATCTGAGTAAAAGTACTCCTAAATATGACATTTGGAGATTAAAATCTTAGAGTTATATGTAAATTTCTCATACTACATTCAAAATGTTCTCATACTACATTCAAACCTAATATCATTTGAGAATTGAGATACTGTGATTTTAAAAAAAATTCTCAAAGAAAAATTGGCTGGGAATTCTCCATCACTCTGACATATCCATCACATTCAATATATCAGTGATCGCGATACTGAGGTTCAACGGTACATGTACATGTATGTCTGAATTCAATAACAACATTTAAAGGTGCATGTATATCATAACTTCACAACAGGGCTGAAGTGCTTTATCTAACACACTAATCCTCCTCCAACATCATACTCCCTCTGAACCTAAGCTTACCGACTGCCACCTCATTAGACTGTTGTATTCTCTGAATCATCTCCCTGACTGATTTGGGATAGTTAAAATGTTCCTTGTAGCTGCTGAACACCCTCTGTTCTGATACTGTGGGGCGGGCTGGCTCCGAAAAGTAATAACCAGAGGAATAGGGTGGCATTGGGACTACTCCCTAAAATATAGGTAACATGTACATGACGTTAGAGCAAAATACTGGTACTTCATACAAATGTACATTTTATTCTGCATTTACTACTATATCCTTTTCTTTGGCAATAACTACATGTGTACATGTACAATGTAATAATTTTAATTATTATCAAAAGTATGAACATGTAATTTTGCAGAAATACTGTACGTGTACTTAAAAAAAGCGGACTTTATATTTTAAAGCCTTTGGATACAGCTAAGGAATCATTTATTTATACAATATATGACACATTAGTATATTGCACTAATTCATGAATATGCTAACAACTGAATACCCAGTGATTGTGCTAAATTTTGAATATACATGTACCAATTTATGTACAATTACAGAATTCAATGATAACTGTAGATCACTTAATTTTCGCGACACCTTATTTTCGCGAGATAGTCATTGACTTTTTATAAGCGAGACAAAATTTTCACAAATTGTGGTCATTGCACTATATAATCCTAAGGTATTCTATCATACGCGAGAATGAAATTTTTGCGAGCATACTGTCTCGCGTAATTACGCGAAAATAAAGTTCTCGCGAATAAAAAGTGATTTACAGTACAGATTGTAAAAAAATTGGCATTTTCCCCCCTGGGAGAAGAGAGGGGGTTACTACACTGCATGATACACACCTGTTGTGCTGGCAGAAGTCTGATTAGGATGGAGCAGGCTGGGACAGCCGGGAAGGAATCTAGGTCATTAACCAGATTCTTGGCTTTAGTGGGAGGGACCCCATTCCTCAATCTCAGCTGTGTACCACCTACATTTAACTTGCCATCCTAAAACATATTTGTATATTGATGATTCTTAAATGTTGTTCTGTTTTGCAGGAATTAAATAGGTATGCAGGAAAATAATCCCATGAGCATTAAATACAATGTTGGTGGTACAAGTTAACAAACACCTTGAACACTGGAACAAAACAGCTGCCAATGACGGAGATTTTGTCCGTGAGCACGTCCTCAGTGTAAACCCTCAGAAAGATGACCATGTCCGGGTCCATCTTCTTCTTCTGGTCATTAACGGTCAGTTTAAAGTCAAACATGGGACATCGGGCCGGACTGTTCAGGAGGGGTAGGGCCAGGAGAAGTTTGGCGTCATTAGCCGTCTTAATCAGCCCTGTCACCTGTAGGAACAGAACAAAATCTCACAGATAAAGTTGATAATGTATAGATATGTATAATGCAAGTACTATCCGTTGTTGTCATAGGTTAAGCAACTAATTAACATCGTACATGTATATCTTTCAAGGGAGAAAAACAGCATCATTCTTATGAAAACTAACTTTCAATGTATTTCTGTGAGAGCTGTCGCATTGGAATATCTGGTAGTTGTTGGAATGATAGTATGATGAGTAAATTGAAGTACATGTACATCTTATAAATCTAAAAGATAAACTCAGTTGCTCTCTGTTTTTCCACTGTAAAAGTGTCATAAATCACATAGGCTGTGATGAAGGCATCATCTACTCACTGTTGGATTACAGATCAACATAATGTAACAATAAATGTCGAGTCTTTTACACTCACCTTAATCATTGAGGAGTTATCAGGAATGAAGCGAACACTGTCAATGTAGAAGTCAAATGCCTCTGACAAACCTGTGGGCATGGGGTTACTAGCCATGGTGGTGGAGTTAGGCTCGACCCATGGCTCCTCACTATCCTGGGGTTTAGGGGTCTTAACAACAGGGGTCCTTCTAGGAGCAGGCTTGGGTTTGGGACTATCAAAAAATTAAAATAAGTTTGTGATCCCACTTTCTTTGAATGAAGAGAGAAGTTTAAAAGATAAAACAGCTTAAGAAATTATGGATATAAGAAACATATCTACACTAAATTCAAGAAATCTTAGACTTTGATCTGTAGCTAACCTAGGTTTTCGGACTGGACTGTGTCGTGGGGAGTGGGTAGCCAGTGGTGGTACCTGATTGGTGGACCCGGCAGGTAGTGTGGGGATAGGAGTCACCCCCTTAGGTCTGGCCCTACCCTCAGGCTCATTGCGAGGATCATACACAATAACCACCACCTCTGAGTTATATCCAAGGACAGTGTCTGAAGTATCAAAAAGAAACTGAGGTAAGTCAAATACAGTGTCAATGATTGTAACCATAACTTATCATTAAGCCTGGGACAATAAATATCATTCAGTATATTTATCTACTCATTTATATATATATCATTACTAAGCTCTTCATTACCCTGCAGTAAAGTCTTCTTCAAACTGAGGAAAAACAAAATTTTTCTAAAAAAGTAAACATTTGGGAAAAACCCACCTTCCTGTTGTTCTGGTACAGGGGAGGCTGTATCTGACGAGATCAGATTCTGGGGGAGTGCCCCGGGGTGGAGCGTGAACACAAAGTCCCCGTCCTGTAGAGACCACTCCACATTAGCCAGAGAGTCGACTGAGGACCTGCCCCCACGGGACGCACGCTGGAACAAAGGGATTCTGGCCCAGCCAAGCGGTACACTGGTTCCTGAAATACAAGACAAGCCAAGTGTGTACTTATGTTAACTGTGAGATACAACTCTTAAACTAGAAACATAGAAATTACTGCTTATGCATGAAATACACTTTGTACACAATAATTCAGAATCTAAAAAAAAAAATTATCCTTGTATTACAGAAAGGAATATTTCCATGTATACAAACTTCTTGTGATTTTTTCCAGTAAATAATGTCTGAATATCCATTTTTACAGTTTTTGAATGAAAGCTTTCTACAATAATTAAAACTGCAATCACTTATTAAATCAATGCATATTCTTATTATAACCAACTGTAAAGAAGTTGAATCACATCATTTACAATTAAATGTTAATGAAATAGAACAGTAGGACTTACTTAATGCCTCTGGGCCTGGCTTCCTGTACTCCACACGAACAATAGCGTAAGGAAAAGCACCTAACTCCCTCTCAACATCCAGTTCTGAAATGTCCAAACTGTCAAATACAAACTTGTCCTCATAAAAATGAACCTCATATATAGTATTTCCATAGTTGTCCTTTGTTATGGATGTTGTGACAGCTTTCCCCATAGAGAGACGAGATCGGAGCTTAACACTTCCAAAGTAGGCATGGGTGTGGATCTGCAGACCTTCAGCATCTACATTAGCCAACCACTGTTCCTGTAAACCAAAATCAGAAGAAATTAACAGGAAACTAATGCCATTGTTATCATTTAAATGTTTTTTTTATTTGCTGCAGAATTAAGATAGTGTGATTGTTGTATTATCATTATGAAAATGTTTGCAATCTAAAGCTTTAAAAACTGTATACATGTACAAAACTTATTCTTTAACATACTGTGATTGTAGGAATTCCATGTAGTATTAGCTTAGATGTACAATATGTATACATGTATAGTACTTACCCTTTCAACCACCTCAGAAGGAATGATAAGTCTAAGTATGATGTCTTTAAGCCCACAGGGGTTGAGGAATCCTGGGATACCAGGGGTGGGCGGGGCACTTTGTACCTGTCCCAGCCTTGATCCAGGTGTACTACAAAATCAATATCAAAATCAATGCATAGTAATAAACTGACATTTTATGTCAGTTTCCTTCATCTCCAATTTATGTTGTAAAGCACAAACATAATGTATGTAATGTATGTTTGACAAAATGACAACTAAACCTTTCCTTGTAATAGATAGTATGTATTTGCAGTGAGGTATGTGTATTTACCCTGGCCTTTGTCTGTTGAGGTAGGGAATTTCCAGGATATCCTTCCCATTTTCCAGATGAATCCAGGCCATCTGGACGTCCACCGTATACAGTTTACAAGCTTCTCTTAGGAAAACCTAAAAATCAAAATACTTTATTTAGAAAATTATAACAATCCTGTTTGCTCACCTTATGTTCTGTTTATTTAACTTAAAATTCACTTCTGAAATGCTATTTAAATATTTTTGGATAACTCCCCATTTCTAACCTCCTTCATTTGCATATAATCTCGAGCATTCATGAACTTTTCCCTGAGTAGTTCCAGCAGGGCTAGACTGAAGTGTTTCAGAACACTGGGCTGCCAGCCCTGCATGAAGCATTGGTCCCAGATGTACATCACAGCAGGGGTGTCCAGCACACTCACAAAACCCTGGGGAAAAACAAAACAGATTCAAATATAAGATGTCAAATCTGGTAAACATTATATCTGTAAATGAAACTGCAGGTAAATGTAGAACATATACCTGTAGAGTGTAAAATTTATTTCTTAAGTGGATTAAAGTTTCATGTATCCATACATACAAAGTGTATCAGAGAAACATTGGTATTACTGGTGTAAGACAATCTTTCTAGCTATTCTTTGACTGTGTACTTACTACATGACAATAAACACATTTGTTTATTATCATATTTATATTACCATATTTTTTATATGTACATTACAGCTACAGTGACTAAACCAGTACCTCTCCAATCCATCTCCTGATGAAGACGAGGGGGTCAGCCAACAGTTCATTTGACATGTACTCCTCCCTCTTACTCCCAGGGGTGGCCTTCAGTAGTTCCTCGGCTTTGGCCTTCTCCGAACTTATCAGATGCATCAGAAACTCCTGTAATTTTATCCAAAGAAACATCATTGTTTACTTGCTAGCTTGTTCCAAGGAAAAAATCATTTTGTATCCTCAAGCTCTGATTCCTCTTGATGTTTGAGTTTAAAGGATTGTATTAAATTGATTTAAGGGGAAAATATTATTTTCCTCTGCAGTTGAGAAAAAAACTTTCCTCCTACCTTTTTATTGACCTTCATATTTGTCTTGGCAATGGATTTCAAGTGAGTGTAAAGGTCAGGGTCAGACAAGCTCAAGGTCATCATAACCTGCTCAGCAATGGCAAATACTTGTGGCCAGGTGGGAAAACAGCTAGAGTTCAAAAGGTCAAGGTACATTGCCAACTCATACACATGTTCCCCTGCAATAAATGTTAATATGCTTTCTATTAATGCATGTTTAGGAGAATTGCTAAGGTCAAAATATTTTTGCAACTCACGCAATGATACAAGCTGATCCAAAAATAAATAATGTCTTACACCAATCTCTTAAATTGAGCAATGCCATTTTACAGGAAGTATAGGTTTCCATATTAAATTAATCTTAACAAAGCTATATGTTCATGCACCCAATACAAGTACATGCACATGAACATAGTAATATATGATAATTTGTAATAATAAGATACTGTAGACGTACTTTTTTCCATGGGGTCATAATTCCGCAGAATCTCAATTTCTGTTTAATCCATGTGTAGAAAATTACGCGGATTTCCTAGATTGTCACTATATGCCTTACTTTTATATAGAGAACGCTTGGACAAATTTCCGTGGAAAATTTGTCACTGCGTACATAGCGTAAATTAATACCACACAGAAAAAAGTACTTCTACAGTAATTAATATCAAACATAAACATATAATTTGAAAACACAGTTGTAATATGTCCACTTTTAAGTGTATGTTTGTAATATGTCCACTTTTAAGTGTATACGCTCCCACTATTATTCATGACAGTAATCAGTTCACCCCTTACCTTTCTCTGTGGTTTTTTCTGATGGAGCTTGGAACGCTATCTGGAGTGGAAACAACCAGTGGATGAGGTAGGGCTCATAGCTTCTGTCATAAACATACAGAATGTTCAGCACGCGCGACGCCTCCCTCATGTGGTCTGTGGACTTAAAGGCTACCATACTGGTCGTCTTATTGTAGGTCTGAAAATCAGAAGAGCACCTGTTCATCGTAGCTACCTCTGGTTGTCAATAAGGAGTTCTCAGAGTATGTATTGAGAAGAATGTTGATGTATACCTCAATGACTGCTGTTTCAATCAAGCCTGCTATTGGTGAGTTTGTGGCTCTTGTGATTCTTAATTCCTGAATGCCTCTACTGACTGCTTTTCCAAATCTCTCTCGAATAATTTTCTCCAAATTCCTAAAATCATTTCAAAATCATTAACTTATAGCTCTTTTCAAACTCTGCACATTAAATGGATTAAAACAATTTACAAAGCGTGATTTTTTAGATACTAATACTTCCATGGTTTTAATAAAAGAAACTTACGCTTCAGGCATTTTCTTCCTCTCCTCTCTGAAGAGTTCATCTGACCACATGAATGTCCTTAATGAGCCAGGTAACTGACGACCATGCATCTTCCCAGCCACGTAATCGTACTTTCTAGGGTCCCTCTGAAGAATGGCTTGTACAGCTCGACCAATCAGATCACTCTGAGGCCCCCACAGGGGCGGGGGATCCCCCTCAACTTTATGAATCATGCCTAGAATTGTGTACAATATATAATGTAGATAATTTGCTATATTTTTTATCTGTATGTGTAATTTTTTATTTTCTTAATACATACATGTACAAAATATTCCACTCTGAAGATTCTCATCACTAAGTGCTATTACATAATTGTAAGTCTGCACTTGCTTTTTTCAGTTTAAAATAAAGTAAACTGATATTTTTTTAGGGTTAGATGCATGCATTATTAATTTCAATACCACATTCCTTCCCACAATATGTATTCTATTCAAGGACATTACAATAGTTGTTTATAGGACCATACACCCATCACCTTCTTGTTAACATGCAAACACTGAATATGCAGATTACTGGGTTCTTTGTTATAGGGAATTAAATACACGTAATGATACATGTTATGTTAATATATACTGCAAATGTATTATATCTAGCATGTACGATATTTGGTGGAAACTGAGTTTTGAACAAGTTAGCGTAGATTTAATTTAGCGCATTTCTTATCATTCTTATTTATGTATATACATGTAAGTACAAAACATTTAGTGTTGTACTTGAATTAGTGGAAGTATCTTTCCACCAAAAGCGCTGAAAAGAATACACAGCCAAATGTAATACATTTACAGTAATATCTATTTCTACACACAAAGAAATCTTATACACACTAACAGATTTCATCAAGTTTCATGAACTTCTTCTTCTTTTTTTAAAAAAATTTTTGTTACATCTCTCCTCACAAAATTACTAAAGAGGACTAGGCTAGCTATTGTTATACATATGCATAATTTAACAAATACAGGTTGATTACTACATAATGATAAACATAAAACAAAAAACATTTCTTCTATATTTGAAACATTTTTGATACAAATACATGAATGTGTATTTAGGGATTGTTTTCATTGCATTCTTGGAAGTTTCATTTTTTTTTTTCTCCATTATTTCATATTTAATGTCAATAACATACAGTAACACCCAGACATTGAGACAGGTTAGCTGTAACTTACAGAAGCATGCACACTCACCACTATTTTTACCAGCTAATCAAAAGAGAACCAGTATTCTTATTCATTATGTGGGTAAAATTATAGACTTTGACTTCTAGATTTGTCAGTAAACAGAAAACATATTTTTCTTTATGTGTTTTCTTTAAACAAATTAATCTATCTCCAATTTAAAAAGAAAGAACTTATAAATTATTTAAATCATGAAATACTGCAATGCTTAACATTAAGACTGAAATCAAAATACTGAGTATTTAAAAGCTTTAAATAAAATATAGATTTTAAAAATACATGCTAAAATTAGGGTTCATAATTAGCAGGGAATAACTTTTAACTACTGAGAAGCTATTTGAAAATAAATAAAGTAATGTATTAAATGTATTTTCAAGAAAAATATCTACACTACAGTACATAATGTTTTTCAAAGGAAAACTATAAAGGTATGAAAGCTATGGGAACATCTGTATACTCTAAATTGTATGATGTTTTTATAACTTTTGTCTATTTTAATAAAATTATCAAATAATATTTCCAAGTGTACTTCATAAATTAATCACCTACGTGGCTGAATGGAGAGGAGTTTGAGATTAATCATTTTATGAATACATGTGTAATACCTCGTATTGTGGCTGAGTTTGGTTTATCTGTAGAGCCGGAGGATACCGATGACACAGCTGTTGTCGGTTTGACGCGGCTTGGGGCTGGAATCTTTAACATTCTGTTCAGTTTGTTCTCTAGCTTTATCTCATCTTCTTTTTGTTTCTACAACAATAAACAGTGTTTGTGAACTTATAATGGTAATAAGTAGGAAATTTTCTATTGTAGCAAACCATCTGTCAATTATACATGAATTTCATGTTACTACATGTATGAACTTTTAGCAATGTTTAGAAAAGAATTACTAGCAGAAATTAATAATAAGTCAAACAAATCTAGACCAACATCTTCCATTCTTCATGTGTTTTTCTCATGAGTTAAATAATTTAAAACATGATATATTACGCCTTATTCATTTACATACACTGTGAGTATATTTGACGAAGTTTGAATGACCCCTGATGAATTCAGTCAATATTGGGAGCATCTCTGATGAATAAATTTTGCACAACTGGACTACATGAACTAATAAACAAATTCAATTCTTCATATAACTTTTTACTCCTGAAGAATATGTACAAAGGAAGAAATCTTTTTACAGAAACAATTTCAAATATAATTCCTTTTAAATATATCTTGCAATTAGCACATTGCAGATTATTAAATATTTTTTAGGGGTTTTTTTTGGCACAGATATTTGTTGGTATGTAGACTAATCACTTACTTTGAGATCATTTTCCTGTTTATACTCTTCCCTCTCCAAACCTCTGAGAAAGATGTTGTATGTATGCTGTAGAAACTGCTCGTACTCATTGGGCTGAGTAGTGCTGTAAACATATGACATACATGTATATAATATGTGTGCTGTAGAAACTGATCATACTCATTAGACTGAGTAGTGCTGTAAATATACATGTGTATAATATGTGTGCTGTAGAAACTGATCATACTCATTAGGTTGAGTAGTGCTGTAAACATGATATATATAATATGTGAATATCTATATGATATATTGACACACTTTTCTTCTTCATCATTAGAAGAATGTTTAATGCTGCCATTGAATAGCTTTAATTTTTCAGTAGAATATACATGTAATTTATAAATGTAAAGGTACATACAAATCAAAAGATATAAGATTTATAAAACCTAAAATTGCAAACATACTCTCTGATAAGTTTGTAATAAACCCAGATGTATATGAATCCCAAAAATGTAATACTTGTCTCACCTTGTGTTGAGATTTTTGCCTAACATGACACTGTAGTGTAATAGATGTCTCACCTTGTGTTGAGATTTTTGCCTAACATGACACTGTAATGTAATAGATGTCTCACCTTGTGTTGAGATTTTTGCCTAACATGACACTGTAATGTAATAAGTGTCTCACCTTGTATTGAGATTTTTGCCTAACATAACACTGTAATGTAATAGATGTCTCACCTTGTGTTGAGATTTTTGCCTAACATGACACTGTAGCCTTTCTCCTTGACACACTTATACACTTGGCTGTTGAGGTAGGCCTGTGCCTCCTTCAGTATCTTCTGTTTCTCCATGGCAGTCATATTGGGAGGTTCCTGTTTTTGTAATGTATTCATTAGTTTTTTATACAAAGTCATATACAGAATTTTTTTTAAAAATCCAAAAATACTGGGAATAATTACAACAAAAAAAAAAAAAAAACAACAAATAAATACATGAAATCCTTTTGAAGATGCTTCTCTTTTATATACCAGTTAATAATTCTAACAATTATTATGCTATTCTAAAAACTTGCAAAATGTGAGCACTTTTCATTTCCAAAATCAATTACATGCATCTCATTAGTCTATGGTATTGATAGTTCATATATCTGTACATGTATTTTAGACTCTGACCAGTATCTGAGGGTTCCATGTGGCCTTGGGGAGGTACTTTTCTACAAACACCTCCCCCAGGGTCTGAATCAGGGCCTCCTTTCTCTCGGGTTTACTGAACTGTTTCTCCACCTTACTGGCCAGAGATTGTGCAATCTTGGCCTCCATCTGGAAAAAAGCATATTTCATATACACTCGCAAATATACTTGTGATTTGAAAATGTGTGCATTTAAAAATAGCATTACAATAACCTGCATATTAATTTATAATTTTGCATTCAACGGACAATGATGTGCTAATTCATGAATACCACTAATACATCATTAATAATTGCCATAAATGGTGTATTTGTGTGTAGTGCTAATTCATGGATACACCAAATTCAATACACCAAATTATGTTCATGTATAGTAGTTATGATTTCTGAAATCATGCAAATCATGTAATTAACTGATAAAATGAAAACTTATTTCATTTATTCAGAATCAAATGCATCAATTGTACAGGATATTGTATTTCAACAATTCCTGCTACAGTCTGGACTTACCGCATGCCATGGTGCATCTGGAAGTAACGTCTGTTGATAACAGGAATTAATCCAGTCCACTGAGAATGGATTTTTGTCTGATTTTTTGGAAGGATCCTCTCGATGAATTGACATTGTCAAACAATAATTTAAATCCAAGGAATTAAAACTTAGAAATACACTATGTAAGTTCACATTTACAAGCGTACAGATATAAAAAATAAATGATTGACACAGCACATAAAAATAATACAATATCCCTTGTACCCTGCAAGTCTATGTACAATGTTTTACATGTTTATATCACAACAAAACACAGTTTTCTGAGAGTCAGCTAAGTTACTAAGGCTTGAAGTTCTGGGGGATTTTCTCCATAGCAATGTTTAGCTAATGCATTTCGGTAGGAGTTTTCATGCTGAACACTCTGCAAAAGAAACAATGTAAAGGCATGAAAAATATTTAATTGTACCATATGAGATTATTTTCATAAAATGACATTTTGATAAAACAAGTTACTGTGCATTCTATCTGTGCTTCATGTGTCAACAAACGTAACCATAAAACCATTAACAGAACCCTAAAAGAAAATCGTGCAAAATTTAATTCTTCTCACCATAGAAGAAGTTCTACATTTGGCCAGACAGAGTTCAAAGTGATCAGATACGGAGCCAAGGGCTATGTCTAATCCCTCACGTGCATTAGTAAGAATCTTCTGTAGTAATGGTCTCTGAAAGAAACAGGCTGAAGGATAACTTCCTTGTCAAAAGAATATACAGAGGTATTCAACTAAAAAGTTTATATAATAGGTCCAAAAATTATGATACAAATATGGGAAGAAATAGGTTGTGTAATATGCAGACTTAGGGAGCTTTAACAATACAAGACAGTTTCTTTAGTGTGTTTGCTGTACCTTGTCTGGCTTTAGACAACAGGATACACAATATTCATACACAACACAACAGGCATTCTTCACACATGTATCACAGCGATGCTTTGATGTGGATTTAGATCCCTTCCTCACATTACAACACCCGTGGGGGTCCACTGATGTACGGTTACAAACATACCCTGAAATAACACAGAAATACAATGTATGATGCATTTTCCCCTTTGAAATAGTACCAAGCATACAGTTGACGACAACAGACAACGCACAAATTTTGATCAGAAAAACTCACTTGAGCCTTCGGCTCAGGTGAGCTAAAAATATTCTGTTTCATATACTTTGTAATTTTTGGAAGAGTTTGTAGTTTTACTCCAAAAACAATTTTTTATTCTATTAATGTGCAACAATAATCATATATCAAGGCCATGTCTTTACCTCTCTCATCTACAAGGAGACTCTTTCCCTGGACGGAATTCCTGCATATCTGTTTCTTTGTAGAGTTCCCTTCCCCCAGCTGGACTTCAGAAATCTTTGGCTGCCATTCAAAAGGTTGTCTTAACAGGGTATGCTTTATTTCATAATCGTCTGGTACAAGCTTTGAGTTCTGTTTTTAAAAAAGTGACAAAAAAGTGTATACATAAAAAAGAAAGGAAATATCGCAGTCTTTCCTACTCAATTTTGTCTCATGTCTCAATTTTAACTTATAATCATATGCTTATGAGATAAATTGTTTAATATTATGATATATATTTGTGACTTACAGCACGGTCTAAAAATAGATCTGATTCAATTTAGCAAAAGCACGGGTAAATGCTGATGTTTTCCTATTATAAATTTTGGAGAAATACCCGGTTATAATCCTGAGAATGTAAAATTTCTCAATCACTTTGTAAAAACTTATTCCACAGGGCTCCCACTAATACACTTTTCGTCATTAAGGAAAGGCATAGGTACATCTGATTTCTCGACAATGCAATGCACTTTATTTTATTCAATTTTTTTTTTATTATGTTTAACAATTCAAAATTGTAATATATATAAAACTTATGGTAGTATCCATTTAAAAAAAGAAAAAAAATAATAATGTTGGAATTACAGAATTAATTTGATATTGTATTGATATAATATTCCACACAGAATGTATACATAATTTAGATCCAAACGAAAAGGAAACTCGCAATAACGGAAAACATTCACTCTCCTCATGCAAAACCATTCAAGTCCATTTTTGCGTTTTAATCTTTTTTAAATCCTTCTCGCTTACGACAGCCATACGCCTCTTTCACTTCGTTTTTTAATGTTGCAATTCAATTAGAAAATAAAAATCCGTGATATCAAACGTGACATAAAAGTCCATCGAAATTTTTTTTCTGCAAATCCTGTTTTTTTTGTAAATCTAGATTCTAAAACTCCTGAAATATATTAAAATTAATCTCCATTTACAATAGATCACAACAATTATGAATAAATCCTTCGTTTCATCCATTAAGACTGACTATCACTCGATCACGTCTATTACGTCTACCCCGTTAAATTATCAACTCTGGAATTTTAGGTTTTCCGTGGAAATATATACACTGCCTTCCCCGTCCCTCATCTACAGAACTTCAGAACTTTTATGCACACAGTTATGTGTGGAGGAGCTATTTTTGATTGATCATGTCACAAATCATTTAGAAAACTCGACAGGTTCTGTATCATAGATACAAATTTGGGGGTGGAGACTCATGCTCTGCACTCATCTCCACCCCCAAATTTGAGCTGTGATCCAATTTACAATTGCGAATTTTTCTTACTGGCGAAAAAAAATTCATAATAAAATGATTTTTTTAGATGTACCATGTACAAAAATTGTGTAGTCCTGGTTAGCTCCTTTGTATATTCAATGTATACAGATAACTCCCATTGTTTATTTAATTCAGCAGAGGTGTGAAAATTGAAACCTACATGTAGGGAATCATGTCTCGCTTGAACGAACACAGCTGACTAGGTAACTAGCCTGGAGCAATAAAGGGTTACAAAATTGCTTGAAATAATATAACTTAGATTAAACAAGGGGGGATAAAGTGTTATTAGGAGATAAAGTTAGTAAATAAAAAAAAATTATCAACAAAATCTGGATCTATGCAGATGATTTTTTTAAAACCGAAAGTAGGTAACTGGAAATTGTAAAGAATGGCTTCAAATTTTACCTAATAAAAATTAAGAAATGTGTACATTATCCCATAAACTGACAAATAGTGAAAAAGAAATTGGTTTGGAAACAGAATTATCCTAGTAAATTACACTGAATTATTTACAATTACATGAGCTTGCATAATTATTATACCCTGGAGTCTCCAAGTTGTTAAAATAAAGTCAAGTTTTAAATCTAATTCTCATTACTTTTTAATTACTTCTTTTCCCAATTAATTAATGAAATTATGAAAATTTACATTTTTAAAAAATGTCATATATTTTTACTACGTCTGTAGCCCCCCTCCCCCCTTCCCAGGCAAACAAAAATTATAAACAAGAGGATATTTTCTGTCAAGAGTAGGCTGATATCAATCCAATATCAAATTAATTGTATAATTCCAACTTTATTTATTTTTTTTTAAATGGACACTACCATAAGTTTTAAACATAACAATTTTAAAACAATGTCTGTGATAAACATAATAAAAAAAGGAATAACATATATTATTGTCAAGAAATTGTAAAAATGCCTTTTTACTTATTTAAAATATAGAAAATGATGAAATAATACATAATATGCTTACGAGATAAATTGTTTAATATTATGATATATATTTGTAACTTTTTGACACTGCAACATTTATGCAATAGGTGCCTAGTTATTTATATCCTTAATACACTGTAGTATGGAAAGGGGGAATTAGTAAACATACATTGAAAATTCATAAATACATATATATTGAAATTTTTTGGCTGTAGGAACGGGTGGGTGGGGGGTATTTCTAGTCAAGTGCTCTAACCACTGAGCTATCCAGGCCGATGTCCTCAGTCCAGCCTAATTTCCTACAACACAAATTATTGCACCAAACCAAGATTATGAAGATCACAGAATATTTACTCCCACTGCAATGATGCTAAAGTTAAACTTTGCAAAACGTTCTCTGCATTAATATCTCATGATTAAGAACTTGGATTTACTGTTATTGCCTTTCCTATCACACAGATACCAATTTACAAGATGTTACTTACTAACCTTTGATAATTTGTTGGATATAAAGAAAATAAAACCGCCTCCTATTTTTTAACTGTAAGTTCAAAACATTATATTTTCACACAACAAATATGCAGACAAAGTTTCGTATTTAATCAAATTTAATTAAAAAAGACAATGATCATGCAATGATAATAAAAGTAGGTAACTGTTTATAGAAATAATTTTTTCAATAAATTGTGTCATATTTCTTTTTTAACTCTGGACAGAATCGGAAACATTATTTAATTCGAAACTTTCTATAGCTCTGTATTACTTATAAATAGAAAAATTACATGATTTGCAATCAACTTTCAACGTCGTCGTCGGACATGTTTTTAAAGACACAAACAATTAGGTAAACAATAAAGACACATGCTTTCGTAACTTATGTAATGTTAATCAGATGATAGTCGTAACATGATAAAATCGAAAGAGATCTTCAGGCGTGTGTTACACGTAGGCTAATCATAGGTTGCGGATACTCACTCATAGTAACTAGTTTCATACTGTAACTGCAACTGTCTGACAAATCATCTATTTGTTTTGATAAACACATTTTTTCTCTCTTGTAATATTTTAATTTAAAATGACCAGATCACCATGTAAAGAAATATAAACATAAATCTGAAATGATGTGATATGTACAAACATGCTAATGTGCTTGCTGTATTGACTTGATATTCCATGTTGTGCAGTGGACCATAAAATATATCTGTATCTTTACGTTGTGGTAACCAATTCTGGTTTAAATACGACAGAGAGAGAGGTGCTGTCAGCTATAGCTATTGAAAGATCCTGTTGAGGGCAGTCTTGAATGTCTCGACCAATTTTGCGAACAGCTGTGTTGTCGTCAAGATGGTTCCATTTAATCATATATAATAATATTTAATACAGTCGAGTCTTGATGATCCAAATGCTTCACATTTTTTGTAAAATGGATTTATGAAGAATGGAATGTACATTTATTCTTGGTGATTAAACCGGCTAGGTTTTTGTAATTTACATGTAGCTGGTTGCTTGGACAAAACAATTCACTGGTGAAACCAAGTGTCAATCTGTAGATAAATGAGTTCCACTTAATATATTTCTTAGTATCTAATGTAGCCACACAATATGACACAAATTTACAGATTATAATTGCATGTATGATTTTTTTTTCAGAAATCTTAACTGAAGAATAGGGAATGTTAGCTGCATTGTACATGTACCATGACTGATCGGAGTAGTCCGGTAACAGACGTGCCCCAGAGTGCTTGGCATCTCAATATGGCATCCAATCTGCAAGACCACATTCCAAGAGTTGGGCAGGCAGTGTCAGGGTTTGTTCCTCACATCATGGGCCCCAGCACTCACCATCGAGTGATTCTAAACCGACTCAACTCCAGAGACCATCATCCAGAGCCTACCCATGAATCGTCAGTAGTGGTAGACGTTGATACTAACGATGAGCAATTTTCCCCAGGAACTGGAGAGATTGATCCAAATTTGATGTCTCACGAACATTTCCAGCTGCCTGGGGGATTCTTTCAGGACGAGAACCAGAATGGTATACCGGGAGAAGGGGAGGAGCATGGACATTCCCACGAGGGCCCCACCTCTCGCTTCAACATCAAGAGCATTGTACTCAACTCGGGTGGATTTCTACTGATCTTATCCCTGAAACTTCTCTCTCAACATTTCCTTGGTAAGGATTAAGGTTTTACAAAGCAAAGATTAAGGTACATTCAGTATTTTAATTTGTGCAGTACTCCACATAGATGTGCATCTTAAAAAATCTCACCTGTCTAAATTTAAAATGTTTTGATTCATTGGTGTTTGCCTGTGCTTATGAAATTGAGCTTAATTAATTTGTTAGTATATTATTGCAGCATATACAGGTAAATATTTTAAAATTGAAATGTTTAAATTATTTGTTCTTTTCAGGATTCTTTGTCTTTCTGGCCATGTTTGGAACTCATGTATATGCCAACATGTCAATGCAGAAAGTTGTACACAAATCATCACTAAGAGTAGGTTTTCATTTGAAGTTCTGTATCTAAACAAAATCTAAAATTATACTAGGATGTAAAAACATACAGTTCAATGAATAGTACAGAAATATGCCTCAAGTAGTATACAAGTATTTTTCATTTTTGTAAATAAGAAAATTACTGAATGCAGTCTCAAGAATTTTACGAATTGCATTAATAATGGATATATATTGGAAAGTTTTGAAAAAGACACTATACATGTAACTTTTCTCTTACATTTCACATACATGTATTGCTTACAGAATGCTTCCTGTCGGGAACAGATTCTCTCATTCTTGTGGATCATCACTTTCCTGTCAGCGAACATAGCTGTTGTCTTGTATGCTTTTAAAGACCAGGCACTTTGGAATGTGTGAGTATTTCATGATTTACTAGCATCTTTTGCACACATTTTGGAGTAAGTAAAAAAATCAAAACTATAACATTGAGGGTAAAGTTTTCTCCAACAAAATGCAATGAATACAAAGAGTATAATGTTATTTGTATTTTGTAGACTGCTGTTCCGACTGCCCATCTTGTCTTCTCCCACATTCTGGGACTATCTGTGGGTGGTCTTAGTTACAGATTTCATCTTAAAATATTCCACAATTATAATCAAGGCATTTCTGTCTCTGCTGCCATTTGGACAGAAAAGGAGGGTATGTATAAGTTACATCACAAATAGTCAAAGGGTTGGTTCACATTGATACATGTACATGTATGTCCTTGTAGATTTAACTCTTTAACCAACCTTTTACCTTTGAATATTATTTTGATAAACGGGAAATATAAAAAATGTATAATATTCTCCTTACCAGATATAACTCTTTTGTGTTCTTTATTTTTTTATGTTAATCTGACATATTTCTAAGTATTATATCACTTAAAATGGTGTGAAAATCATACTTTTGATAAGTAGGCGTATATTGTTTTTGTCCCGTCTGTTTATCTGTTTATCTGTTGTCAACTTTAACCTTCGCCATAACTTTTGAACCATGAAAGATAGAGACTTCATATTTGGTATGCATACTCCACCAATGAAGTTCTTTCAAATGACAACAAGGTCAATGACCTTGTGACCTTGACTGTGACCTATTTGCTAAAAATAGCTTTTCGAATTTTCGCCATAACTTTTGAACCATTAGAGATGGAGACTTTATATTTGTTATGCATACTCCACTAATGACACTCTTTCAAATGACACCAAGGTCAATGACCTTGTGACCTTGACTGTGACCTTTATGCTAAAAATAGATTTTATAAACTTTCTCCATAACTTTTGAACCATGACAGATAGAGACTTCATATTTGGTGTGCATACTCCACTAATGAAGTTCTTCAAATGTCACCAAGGTCAATGACCTTGTGACCTTTATCTTCTGAAAATATTTTTTTGAACTTTGTTGCCATCGGGCGCATAGTGTTTCATAAATTGACTGGAATCCTATAGCCTTTTTGAAATACATACCAGTAATCTGAATGCAAGAGTATATCACACTTTAGAAATGATATACATCTGAACTCTTACTGCCTTTTCATCATGATTTAGCATGGTTTCATTCAGTTGAAATATATTATTTTGTGTGTGATTTTAGGGGAAGATTTACAGGGTAGTAGAAAATATTATGCAGCTGTACAGAATGCTAACTCCCATAGTTCCTTGGTTTCACTTCCTGTTTGAAGATCAGGGATGGGTGTTGGGAATTATCTTAGTGGCATTATATTTCCTTTTTAAGGTGAGTATACACAACATTAGAGATAGGAGTGATGCTGTTAGAAAAGAAAAATCCCATAACAGCACAAAATTTTAGAAAAGATTTTATGGTATAATTATAGTGAGGGCAGAAAGTGGCTTGAAGCACTGCTTGTCACAGTGAGCTCTTAAAGCAATGCGTATGCAGTGAGTAAAATTTGGACTTTGCAAAATTGATCCATTTTGTTAAAGCAACGTTCTAGAGAGAATAACAAGAAAAGTTTAACAAATCAAATTCGACTCGCCTTGATTTAATGGATATATTGCAGATAAATAGTAAAAATCAGCACTATTCACACTCCTGTCTGGTAAATCAACTTACATTTGATGTCATGTGATGTCAGAGTCTAGACACACCAAATGTCACGTGCGGTTTGACGAGCCCGATGTAAATTAAAACTGAATAAGTATCTGTGCTCAATCTAAGGGTCACACCGTTAACGTATTAGATGCACAATAAAGTCATTATCAGTTCATACGTGTATTCTCAAAAACCTGAAATGAGCCCTGGCATCAAATATCTGTCAGGGGTTCATTTTTTCTGAAGCAAATGCATTTTTTGATCCTATTTTCTCTATTAAAGGTCAAGATTTTTGTTAATGATTATAATGATTAATGCAGCTATGTTTAACATTCATCTAACTAGATATTACTAAAATCTATTAATTCTTAAGTTCAGGCATTTTATAAGTAAGGATAAAATTTTATTGCAGATTTTTCAAGCAGTAGCAAAGGGATTTGAGGTTGTGAAATCCATCAAAGGCTTATTATCAGATGTGGTAAGTGTTAGTTTTTGTTTTGCAAATGCATGCATGATTTTACTAAGTATTAATAATAGTTTTGGTATTTCCTTCTAGGTTCACTCTTTATATGTAAACCAAATGTTGGGATGCACATTATGCAAATTCAAATGTTACAATGTTTTGTGAGAGATTGGAGGGAATTCTAAAGATCCTGTTTTATTTTAGACCTACGGAAGTAGACCTACGTCCACAGAGATTGACCAGTGTGGAGAGAACTGTCCAATTTGTCAGGACGACTATAAAGATCCAATCAAACTGGCTTGTAAAGTGAGACTCCATTTGCTTTTGATTTACTTAACAAGTGGGCAGTAAAAGTAATACACATGTGTATTTCTATATTATTGTAATGGCTGTAGCCACTGTGCCAAAATTAAACAGTGTTAAATAACATGGTCAAGGTGTGCTTAAGATAGGGTCTTATTTAATTATGCCCCCTTCGAAGAAGGGAGGGCATATTGCTTTGCTGCTGTCTGTCGGTATGGTGGTCTGTCGTTCCATTTAGTTTCCATTTATTTTCTTCACAACCGTTGCACATACTGAAATGAAATTTGGTATACAGATTTACCAGGTGAATATCTAGGTGAAGTTCTGTTTTGGGTACAATCGCACCATTTTTAGCCGGGCTTATTGCTCAAAGAGCAATTGCCGGCTTATGTCATCCTGTTCAAGGCGGGAAGTTGACCCCATAGTCGCCATTTTAAAGTTACGTGTAAAAATATAGTTCTTACTCTCAACCGCTTTTGAGATGATACAAACGCTAAATAAAGCAACAAAAATAAAACGAAGTTTAATCTATATAAATAAACATTTAATAGTAGTAATGACTTTGAAAACTTCAGTCCTAAGTCAAAGAACATAGTTCATTAGCGTAAGGATTTTTGATAACCAGTGTTATCGTAGTTCTCTACACATACGAGGTAAAGCAGGAGAGGGAACCAGACTGGCCTGTTTGTTTACATTCAGTTGCGGTACCAGATTAATTCTGATTCTGACAAAATCAGACCGTGGTATTAGGATTGAAAAACTCACTGTCAGTGTCTTATCATTTATATTGATAGTTTAAAGATAATTTTTTCATCAAAATATAAACGTGATTCTTGTAAGAAATTCATTCTACTCTGTAAATGAGTCCGGCTCTCTGTACTTCTGAGTACTTTGATTATCAGTTATGCCCATGGGACTTAGAAAAATTCCACTTAGTTGCATTTTCCGTTCATTTTCTTTGCAGAGGTTGCACATATTGAAATGAAATTTGGTATACAGATTTACCAGGTCAATATCTAGGTCAAGTTCTCTTTTGGTTTCAATTGCACCATTTTTGATAGAGTTATGCCCCTTGAACTTAGAAAAATTCCACTTATTTGTAGTTTCCGTTCAATATCTTTGCAGAGGTTGCACATATTGAAATGAAATTTAGTATACAGATTTATCAGCTAAATATTTAGGTCAAGTTGTTTTGGTTTCGATTGCGCCATTTTTGATAGAGTGATGCCCCTTGGACTTAGAAAAATTCCACTTATTTGTAGTTTCCGTTCATTTTCTTCGCAGAGGTTGCACATATTGAAATAAATGAAATTTGATGTACAGATTTTTTAACTGAATATCTAGGTCAACTTCTATTTGGTTTCGATTGTGCCATTTTTGATAGAGTTATGCCCCTTGGACTTGTAAAAATTCCAATGTGGGGGAGGGGGGCATAAGTGTTTTACAAACATCTCTTGTTCAAATTAGGAATAACTTTCTTAAGACTAAGGTCATTTCATTACCTCTTGGTTTAAATTTATCAACATTTACTGCATGAAAACATTAAAATGGTTCATGAATTTGAGACTTCCAAATAAACAGACTCAGTTTAGTGTCACAAAATAAACATGCAGTTCTCCTTTGTAAAATTTTTACATGCTTTTACTGGTACTTGTGCTGTACTTTTTTTTTAATTTCAGCATATATTCTGTGAAAATTGTGTATCCATGTGGTTTGATAGAGAAAAGACTTGTCCCATGTGTAGGGCACAGATTCACACAGAGTCCCCAATGTGGAAAGACGGATCTACCAGCATCCACATTCAGTGGTACTAATTCGGATCTACCAGCATCCACATACAGTGGTACTAATCCACATCTACTGGGGCAGACTAATTTTTCGTTAGGACTGGAATCCACAGCAGGGATAGGAATAGTCTTAAAATGACTGTACAATGGATGCTTTTCTTTTTAGTTGTTGCTTTGATTTGGTGTTTTATCTAAAATATCAATCTGCTTGGTTTTAAGATAGCTTTAGAAAAAGGTGTATGAGTGAAGTTTTAATCATAACTCTTAAGCTTATTTTAGTTTATTAAATTAAATATGTTTAGTGCCAAATTTTCCAAATTTGTGCTGTCAATATTAATATACACAGTACCTTTCAGTGAAAAAAAAATTGATCATTTTATGCTTTGATTACTAGTATTTGCTTGCAAAGTATTTTACAGTATTTTTTCATAAATAAAAGGTTATGTATCAGTAATTATCCATTGTTCTTGTAAATTTGAACTATCATGTAAATGCACAATAAATATTGTGAAAATTTAAATGTGAATCCTGTGTTTTTAGCTCTACTGGTCAGAGACCAGAAGAGCTTATGCAATAGTAATGCGTCCGGCGTCCGTCCGTCTGTCTGTCTGTCCGTCTGTAAACAATTTTTCAAAACGCTACTCCTCCTACAATTTTAGTTTGATTTCAATATTACTTGGCACACAAGTAGACTACACTAAGATACATAGAATAGTGCATCGGTTTTTAATTTCGATGAACGGTGTTGCCATGGTTACTAAAAATAGAATTTTCTGTGAAATTCCTTAAAAACGCTACTCCTTCTTCAGTTTTGGTCTGATTTCAATATAACTTGGCACACAAGTAGACTACACTAAGATACATAGAATAATGCATCGGTTTTTGATTTCGATGAATGGTGTTGCCATGGTTACTAAAAATAGAATTTTCTCTGAAATTCCTTTAAAATGCTACTCCTTCTACAGTTTTGGTCTGATTTCAAAATAAGTTAGCACACAAGTAGACTACGCTAAGATACATAGAATAGTGCATCGGTTTTTGATTTCGATGAACGGTGTTGCCATGGTTACTAAAAATAGAATTTTCTGTGAAATTCCTTTAAAACGCTACTCCTTCTACAGTTCTAGTTTGATTTCAAAATAACTTGGCACACAAGTAGACTACACAAAGATACATAAAATAGTGCAATGGTTTTTGATAAGTACAAACCAGTAGAGCTACAGTCTCGACAGAGACTTCTGGTTTAATGGGATCATAGTCCTGAATATTCTGTCCAGTGTGTTTATACCCTATGATAAATTTTATTTTATTGTCAAGAGCCTATTAAGTTGATACATTACACATACAGCTTTATGTATACAATACATTACGATCAAGATGGCCCTCTGGTACATGTACATGCCAATTCATAGGTAAAGAATTAAGAACACAATGTCAAAGTTAAAGCTGAAAAATCTTGATTAGGATATGACTTTTTTTCTCTGCCACCTATGATGTGAAGAGGGACCGTTTTTTAGCTCTTCTGAGCCAAAGACTCTATGAATTCATCAGAATGTGATAAATAAAAAGTAAGTCATGATGTCCTACTTTTGGAATTTCAAGGCATTGTTTTATTATTTCAAATAATGAGAGTCATTAGATAATCAAACTTTGTCATTTGGGGCATTTTGGAGTCTCAGAGTATATTTACCAAAAAGTAGGTCACATTGACCTACTTTTGAAATCTCATGGCTACTGAGTATATCTTAATATTTCAGATAGTAAGGGACTTAGAATAATCACACTTGGTCAATTGATAATCCTGGGCTCTCAAGAGTGTTTTAACCAAAATGTAGGTCATGGTGACCTACACTGGAATTTCAAGGCTTATTAATTTAAATATACAGTATACTTAGAGGCTTCAAAAAGAAGTGATAGATTGTACAATTTATCAGAAGAGCGATTCAAGGCCCTTGGGTCTCTTGTTCATGGACATAATGTCAAGGTTATTTAGATAGACCAAAGACATTCTAAAAAGCCTAAAAATATTTTTAAAAACAACACATATGTAGGCTACTTGATTTTTAGCTCTACTGGTCAGAGACCAGAAGAGCTTATGCGATAGTAATGCGTCCGGTGTCTGTCTGTCTGTCTGTCTGTCTGTCCGTCTGTCTGTAAACAATTTTTAAAAACGCTACTCCTCCTACAATTTTAGTCTGATTTCAATATTACTTGGCACACAAGTAGACTACACTAAGATACATAGAATAGTGCATCGGTTTTTGATTTCGATGAACGGTACTGCCATGGTTACTAAAAATAAAATTTTCTGTGAAATTCCTTTAAAACGCTACTCCTTCTACAATTTTGGTCTGATTTCAATATAACTTGGCACACAAGTAGACTACACTAAGATACATAGAATAGTGCATCGGTTTTTGATTTCGATGAACGATGTTGCCATGGTTACTAAAAATAGAATTTTCTGTGAAATTCCTTTAAAACGCTACTCCTTCTACAATTTTGGTCTGATTTCAATATAACTTGGCACACAAGTAGACTACACTAAGATACATAGAATAGTGCATCGGTTTTTTGATTTCGATGAACGGTGTTGGCATAGTTACTAAAAATAGAATTTTCTGTGAAATTCCTTTAAAACGCTACTCCTTCTACAATTTTGGTCTGATATCAATATAACTTGGCACACAAGTAGACTACACTAAGATACATAGAATAGTGCATCGGTTTTTGATTTCGGTGAACGGTGTTGCCATGGTTACTAAAAATAGAATTCTCTGTGAAATTCCTTTAAAACACTACTCCATCTACAGTGTTGGTCTGATTTCAGTATAACTTGGCACACAAGTAGACTACACTTAGATACATAGAATAATGCATCGGTTTTTAATTTCGATGAACGGTGTTGCCATGGTTACTAAAAATAGTATTTTTTGTGAAATTCCTTTAAAACACTACTCCTTCCTCAAGTTTGGTCTGATTTCAATATAACTTGGCACACAAGTAGACTACACTAACATACATAGAATAGTATATCGGTTTTTGATTTCGATGAACGGTGTTGCCATGGTTACTAAAAATAGATTTTTCTGTGAAATTCCTTTAAAACGCTACTCCTTCTACAGTTTTGGTCTGATTTCAATATAACTTGGCACACAAGTAGACTACACTAAGATACATAGAATAGTGCATCAGTTTTTTTATTTCGATGAACGGTGTTACCATAGTTGCTAAAAATAGAATTTTCTGTGAAATTCCTTTAAAACGCTATTCCTTCTACAGTTTTAGTTTGATTTCAAAATAAGTTGGCACACAAGTAGACTACACAAAGATACATAAAATAGTGCAATGGTTTTTGATAAGTACAAACCAGTAGAGCTGCAGTCTTGACAGAGACTTCTGGTTTTTTTCATAGTTTGAGCAGCTGTGTTTTGTTATGCCCCTTCATGGCTGGGTCGTATAGAGTTTGGTATGTCTGTCTTTCCATTCTGTCCATCCATTGCACTTTGCATTTATCTCAGATCACAGCAAAGTTTCAAAGAAATTATGCAAATATTTTAATCAAACTGTGTATGTTGATGCATACTGATGTGAGCTGTTCAACTGTATCAACATTATATGACCTTTCCTTTCACCTTGACCTCACTTTTCTTAAATCAGTGTTTTGCTCAGTTTCAAAGACACTATTCAAGATAGTGTAATCAAACTTCATATACTGATTCATACTGATGTATATTTTTTACCTTGGCCTTTCTTTTGATCTTGACGCCCATTATCTAAAATAAATGTTTAGCTTAGTTTCTAAGTAAATATTCATGATTTTGTTTTCTTCAAACTTCATAAGCTAATATTTCCTGATGTCAACTTTTCAACTGCATCATCAGTTTTGGACCTTGACCTATCTTTTGACCTTGAATGCACTTTTCTTCAATTAGTGTTTAGCTCAGGTTTTTGACCGTAAGCTTTCCTTGGATCTTTAGCTCACATTCCTTAAATTGCATTTTGCTTATTTTTAAAGAAACCATTTAAAGTATTTTCATGTATGCTTATACATAATTTGGTTAGAATTTATCATCAATATTCATTTTCTTTAGATTTCAATTTTAAAGAATTTTTTCAAGATATTATTATCTTCAAACTTCATAGATATAATTATAATTTAATAAAAAATATTCATGTTGTCATATACCCTCACTGGGGTGTTCATGTCCTTTGGGCATATTGCTTATTTGACCTTAATCTTTCTTTGACCTTGACCCCATGAATTTATGTTTAAAGAAAACATTTAAAATATACATTTTTTTTTTTACCGAACTTCAGAATATTTTTAATTAAAATGTGAATGTTCTGCAATTTTTAAAGAGCTTGTTATGTGTTTAAAATGTATCTTACACCAATCTGTTTACATGTCCTTCTTCATTTTACTTTTTTCAATAAAAGCATCGGGATTGCTTATCAAGTGTAAATAGATCGGGTTTGAAATACTGCAATGTCTGTAAACAATATGGACAACGAGAGAGAGTTCCTCGATTTGCCGAACGAAATTATTGATATAGTGCTTCAGAACAGGGGAATATCTTTTACAGATATATGCAGTATATCCCAAACATGCACAAAATTGCAATCTTTGTGTTTGTCAAACGAATTATGGAGAAGGAAGCTCCAGCAAAGGTGAGCAAAATTAAGTTATGCAACAGCTGACAGCTGAAATGAGAATAAGTGTATGAAAAAATTAACATTTCCTATGGCATTTGCTTTTGCAAATGTGTATATCCGTATTCATAACTGCATAAAATATTTCATGTTGTGCCCTTGAGTCAGCATGTCATCAATGTAGAAATTGATTGTTAATATAGGTGGCCCAAGCTGCTGCTGAGGTATTCACGAGAGCAGGCACATGATTGGCTGAAGGAGTTCAAAACTTACACCGTGGTGGGCCGTGCTGTGCAAAAACTTGTTAGCCAGCTATCCCCAAGATTTTATAAACTAGAGGAAATTCCAGATGATGGGTTTTCTGATGTGGTATCCCTGATGGAGGAGCATAACGCAGCTGAAGTTATCATAAACGAGTTAAATGAAATCATACATGATAATGACAGGTAAATAAAATACAAACAGATCAGCTATTACAAATGTGAGAAAGGCGTTGATAAATAAACAAGCTTAAAAACATCAGTTTATGGTAAAAAGAATGGAGGTGCATGTATTTCCTGTAGCAAAAAAATATGAATGCTTGTTAGCACAAAGATGATTTACAAAGTTTTTGCAGAAACATTTTACATATTAAAGTTTTTTGTAGACATTCATAGATTTATGCATGTTGCAGAAGTGCCATTACAGAGATTTTGCTTACTTAAAAAAAAAATTAAACAATAATATGTACATGTATATTAACACTAAACATTGTTAATTTAAAAGGTTTAAGAATTTGACAAACAAGTACTATGCAGTGAAGCTACTCCGACACATTTTTCACTTACATCTTACTGAGAAATGGAAAGCTCATTTACAACAGCCACCCGATGAGCAAAAACTTGAGAAAGGTAATAAAAATTTGTCAAGTATTTTTACAATTATTATTATTACAATTAAGCATGTTTACTTCAGATGTACATTTTTTTTTAAAGTACATAATACATAATGCATTAATATTTCAGGTGCTACCATAATAAGCCAGTGGTTCCAACCTACAGAAGATGTGACAGAAAATTCCATAATTGACCGCTTGGATGAAATTGCAGAAAGAGTTAAGAAAAATCTACCAGAAAATTTAGCATCAAAGTACACTGAAGGTGACTTTTATTTCTATGTAAAAATTTACTGGTAATATTACCTCTTAAAGAATTAATCTATAGTTACTATATGTAATTATAGTACACATGTATGTTTTTGTTAGCTTCAATCAAAAAATGTTATTTAAATAGCTTTTTAATTATTGAGCTTTAAAGTTATAAATGAAGAAATGTTCCATGGCAGATACTGGTAGAAGTAAGTTTAGTTTAAGTTTTATTATTTTGTTAGAATTCACTATAATAGTGCTATATGAAAATAAAATATGCTACATTTACAATAAGGAGTGCCATCACTGAGTACAGAACAAGAAAGAGTGGTTCTAGAAATCATGAACCATGTCTTGTACACGGAGATGGGTTTCCATGGAAATGAAGAAAATTATTATGATGAAAACAACTCTTTTATTAACAAAGTAAGTAAAACAGTTGCATAGGTGGCTTTTATAAGGTTCAAAAAGTCTATAATGTAGCTAGGTGATATAAATGTCTCAGCTGGCATTTGCTAACAGAAGTAGATTGTATTGTGATTAAGGTAATGTTTCTGTTTCTATTATCAGGTTTTGGACCGTAAGCTTGGAATCCCTATCAGTCTCTCAGTACTATATTTGTCTGTAGCCAGACGACTTGGTGTAACATGTCAATGTGTTAACTTTCCTTCTCACTTCCTGCTCAAGTGGAAAGAACATCCAATGTAAGTTGAGTTAAAGATACATTGATTAGTAAGGCCAGAAAGTGACTTAAGTTGTTTTAATGGTATTACTATATACACATACAACAAGAGTAACAAAACTTTTGAAAAATAATTTTTACATGTAGTTTTGTAGAATTATCTTCAAGTTGTTCTATAAAGGGAGATAATCTATGAACATGTGAGCTTTATCTCATTTCCTGTCAGATGACAAAGGCAATGATATTTATAATTTTTATGACACTACAGGGCTACTGTAGATAAGCAGTACACCTTTATTGATGCCTTCCATGGAAAGTTTATCACAGAGATAGGAGGTGATCATACAGTGTTCACAGACTCCATACCACACATTGAGGTACATCAGACAGAAAAATGAGTATTGAATACAAGGATGCAAAGTTAATGGTCAGGGCTGGCTGTTCATGAAATCTGTTTCTCTGTAATATGTAAAATCTATTTCAAGATTTGTTATTTTGTAGTACTTGTAAAAAAAAAAAATAGGTATGGTGTAAGCATGGATTCACAGTGTTACATGTTAATGTTCTATTGCATTTCGAGATTTTTTTTATATTTCTCATTACAAGATTGCATTGAAATGAACCTACAACTTTTTTCATCTGTTCATATATTTCAGGTTTACAAGAGAATGCTTCGTAACCTGATCAATATTGCTCGTAATCACCACCACATGAGAAGCACCACCACGTTTCTCCGCGATGCGGTGGAGATGATGCTCCTCACCACTCCAGATGATATAGACTACCAGTTCCTCCTGGTGAAAATCTACATGTATCTCAAGATCAATCAAGAAAAGGTACAAGTTTTTTTTCTTTTCCTTTCTTGTTTAATCTCAGACTGTCACTAGCCTATTGTATAGTGGTCGCCTTAAATCCTCTGGAAAATACAGAACAAAGTGGTGTCTTTCATGTCAGCTTCATCATTTCAATTATTGTTGTGACCTTTAGGTCAAGGACATACTGCTGGAGATGGAAATCGCGGACGAGGGCAGAGTTTCTCAGGTAGCACGCTTAACAGCTCAGGTGGAAAGGAGTGCCCGGGAAAACGAAGAACTGTTACAGAAAAAGGTCTGTATGATAAAAATTAAAAAAAAAGTCTGTATTACAAATAGATATGACATAAATATGACATCTGGAACAAGAGGCCCATCGGCCACATCGCTCACCTGAGAAGCTTTGACCATTCTGTTCTTTACCAGATTTCCCCCTTGTAATACATTATGTATCCCCACCCTACCCCACTGATCATAATTAAGACATTTTGAAATCAACTACCCCAGGATCCTTCCATGTGCAAATAAGTTTCAGCTTTTCTGGCCCAGTGGTTCTTGAGAAGAAGGTTTTCAAAGATTTTTCCTATATATTTTTATGTAAAACTTTGATCCCCCATTGTGGCTCCACCCTTCCCCTGGGGGTCATGATTTGAACAATTTAAAATCTACATTACCCAAGAATGCTTCCACATAAGTTTCAACTTTTCTGGCCCGGTGGTTCTTGAGAAGAAGTTTTTCAAAGATTTTTCCAATATATTTCTATGTAAAACTTTTATTACCAATTGTGGCCCCACCCTTCCCCCGGGGGTCATGATTTAATTTAGAATCTACACTATACCAAGATGCTTCCACATAAGTTTCAGCTTTTCTGGCCCAGTGGTTCTTGAGAAGAAGATTTTCAAAGATTTTTCTTATATATTTTTATGTAAAACTTTGATTCCCCATTGTGGCCTAGCTCTTTCCCCGGGGGTCATGATTTGAACAATTTAAAATCTACACTACCCAAGAATGCTTCCACATAAGTTTCAACTTTTCTGGCCCAGTGGTTCTTGAGAAGAAGATTTTCCAAGTTTTTTCTTATATATTTCTATGTAAAACTTTGATTCCCCATTGTGGCCCCACCCTTCCCCCGGAGGTCATGATTTTTACAATTTAGAATCTACACTATCCCAAGATGCTTCCACATAAGTTTCAGCTTTTCTGGCCCAGTAGTTCTTGAGAAGAAGATTTTCCAAGATTTTTCCTATATATTTCTATGTAAAAGTTTGATTCCCCATTGTGGCCCCGCCCTTGCCCTGGGGGTCATGATTTGAACAATTTAATATCTACACTACCCTAGGATGCTTTCACATAAGTTTCAGCTTTTCTGGCCCAGTAGTTCTTGAGAAGAATTCCAAGATTTTTCCTATATATTTCTTTGTAAAACTTTGATTCCCCATTGTGGCCCTGCCCTTCCCCCGGGGGTCATGATTTGAACAATTTAATATCTAAACTACCCTAGGATACTTTCACATAAGTTTCAGCTTTTCTGGCCCAGTAGTTCTTGAGAAGAAGATTTTCCAAGATTTTTCCTATATATTTCTATGTAAAACTTTGATTCCCCATTGTGGCCCCGCCCTTCCCCCGGGGGTCATGATTTGAACAATTTAATATCTACACTACCCTAAGATGCTTTCACATAAGTTTCAGCTTTTCTGGCCCAGTGGTTCTTGAGAAGAAGATTTTTTAATGACCCCACCCTATTTTTGTCTTTTCTTGATTATCTCCCCTTGCGAGGGGATATGTCCCTTCATTTTAACAGTTTAAATTCCTCTTCACCCAAGAATGCTTTGTACCAAGTTTGGTCAAAATTGGCCCGGTGGTTCTTGAGAAGAAGTCGAAAATGTGAAAAGTTTACAGACGGACAGACAGACAGACGGACGGATGACGGACAAAATGTGATCAGAAAAGCTCACTTGAGCCTTCGGCTCAGGTGAGCTAAAAAAACTTTATACAATAGGCATGAAGATGATTATATATGGCTGGTTTTGTACATTGTTCATCGTTATCATTTCTTACCAGATGATATAAAAAAAAAAGAACCAGGTTTCCTTACATTACTTTAGATTTCAAAATCAAGACTGTTGTATCTTAAAATACATGAACTGTACCAGTATTTGAAAACAGACCAAATCTTTTCCCTTTCTTTCCACAGACAAAACCAAAATACAGGGCAGAAAACAAAGAGGTCAGGTTCTCAGTTGGAATGGTGATGAAACATAAAAGGTAAAACATAACTGATTTATCAGCAAATTTCAACGAAATTTTTAATATATGAAGTTGAAGTCATTTATTTAAGACTTATGTGAATTACTAGATACTGATAAAAATTTTCCAGATACAACTACATGTGTGTAATTTTTGGATGGGATTCCACTTGTCAAGCATCTCGAGAGTGGATCATTCAGATGGGGGTTCACATGCTCCCTCGCAAAGACAAGCAGCCATTCTACAACGTACTGGTGGAGGACGGAAGCATAAGATATGCTGCAGATGGTAAGTGTATAGGGAATTCATGCTGCAGATGGTAGGCTTCTTTCTGCTTGTTAAAGCGGCAATACAGCTGCAAATTGTGTGTTTTTTAATTCAAATTTACCCAATATATCGTTCAGGAATAAGTTAAAAAGTTGAATTAAGCATTTGAGAAAAATAAATATTCCCTCCTCATACAAAATTAATGTAATTAGAATCTGCCGGAAAATCAAGGGTCGTACAACTTAGATTTGTTTACTTGTACCACGTGAATTCTAAAATGGCATGTGCATACAATGTAGGGTCTACAGTTATAATGGAATATTAAGTAAAATCAGTTCCGAGAATCAAAATATCTTAACTCTCCGATAAATTAATAATACTTAACATATTAGTCTGCATTCAGATGAATTTAACATGATTAAGTACAAATGTTGACGTTTTGTGTATTGGGGTGCAGGAAAGGAAAATCCATCAAATCATACGTCATCACGTGAAAATGTCAAACATAATACCTTTCTGTAGTTCCAATACAATATGCACTTCAAATGGCAATAAATTTTATATGTCATAAGTGCATTTTAACGTTGAGTTTACACTGATTTTTTTTTCTTTGAAAGCCATGGAGATACGAGAAATTATAGCATGTATCAACAAACCTGTAGGGTAGAACCTTCGCGAGTCCCACGTGAATGTCACCAAGATCCCGTTTCTTCTTCATCCAATGATTATATTAATCTTCCAACTAAATTTTTGTCAGCAAAGTTGCTTTCTTAATATGAAGCCCTATTTTTGGTTTTATTTTTCGTTTTGGTCGACTCTGTCAATGTAGCTGGCCTTCCGGGCTTCCCTCTCTTATCATGCTGTTTTGTTGATGAAAACTATATGCATGCTCGATAGCATGGAATGTGGAACCTCGAACGCGATGTATATATTTATGGACCATAAATAATTATTAATTTTAATGAAATACCAGGTAATCAGAATTATTTACTTATGAAATTTGTAATTTTCTGAAAGTGTTTCCATTTATGAGTATGAAAAAAATTCCAAATCCTATAGGAAAATTTTAACAAGTCTGTTTTTGAAGAGATGCGCCGTATTGTCACTTTAAAGAAGAACAAGATATCTACAAAACTGAAAAATAATTGACTATAATTTTTCAAAAGCTTGACAATAATTTGACTTCAATTTAATTTTAGCCTCTGCTTTCTGTTAAGATATTGTCACCACACAAAAATCATGGTAATCAGAGGGAGTTTTAATTTTTCCTAAACCAGAAAAATTGTATTATATTTCATATAATGTCTACAATGTACATGTATATTCTATACATGTCTTCTGAATTTTATAATAAATGCCTTTTATTTGAAGAAAATCTTTACCACCCAGACAATTACTGTGAAATTCCTCACCCTGATGTTGGCAAATATTTCCAAGAGTTTACTGGTCAGTACTATGTGATGAACAATGAGAAAGCTGAGGAGTATCCAGACGACATTCAGGAGACCCAAACCACAGTGGAGGGGGTGGGGAGGGGTCAATGAGGGACCCAGACAACAGTGGAGGGGAGGGTCAGGGAGTGGTCAAGGCCACAGTGGCGGGGAGGGATCAGGGAGAGACCCAGGTCACAGCAGAGGGCTGGTCAGTGAGGGACTTGTTACCCGTCAGAAGTCTCGTTAAGGGAGACAACTTCAGGGAATGAATAAACTAACAAGAAGTGCAACAATGGCCAGTTTCGGATATTATTGTATGAACATGCTATGACAGTGTATTTTTATTTAATCATATATGCAAATTTTTATATGTTTATGAAATAAAAAATGTTGAATTAATAGTGTCTATTTCAAATACACCAAATGATGAATTAACAGTTAAGCTATGTGTGTTGGTACATCTTCTTTATATTTGTACAAGAATTTGAATTAACCAACATAAAAGAATGTTTGAAATTTAAGACAATCCCTTTTAAGGGTTATATGAGAGCAGCTGGACTGCTAATGATTGAAGATGTTTTTCTATAATGCAGTTATAAGAAATAATTTTTCTAGAGTGATTATTAATCAGATGATAATGATTAAACTAGTTTTTTCGGATTGGTTTTCTTTTTTAATTTTTATTTATGGAATGAATCAATATTTTTTACGAGGATATGAATAAGGCGAGAATTCATATGAATGAATATAAAATTTACCCTTCGATTTTTTAATGCTAATAGCAATACTGCAGTGCTCCCACAAAATGAGTATTGTACAAATTAATATATATTTTGTTTTTGAAGTTTTTGCATGGTATTATATTTCAGTGACAATTAAAAGAACATAAAAGTATTGACCATGTACAGTGAAAACATTACTGCATATATAATTGGTTTGTTATATATCATAAGTTACTTTGTATAATGAAATCTGTTAATACAGTAATAAAATTTCTTTTAATATTTAACTCATCCTGAAGTAGTGTAGAACATCTCACTGGTGTTGACTTTAAAGTCCATTTCAGACTGTTTTTGAGCCATCATGTACATGTAGATGACTCTTAAGATATCACTGAGTTTCAGCATTCACACCCATCAGATTGACCTCTGGCCAAGATTACATATTTAGTTAGAATTGTAGTTTTTTCCTCATCTTTACTGATTTATGCGATATCTGCATCTGTGTGCTTGACAAGTTTCTGAGACCTTTTAAAAAATAGTACACAGACTATAAGAATCATATGTCTGTAGGATAAGTAAATAGTACACAGACTATAAGAATCATATGCCTGTAGGATAAGTAAATCCCTCAAGGATCATCACCTTCTAGTTCAAGGAAGGAAATATAATTACTGAGGATGAGATTTACATATTTTTTTGGGAAATGAGAAACGTATCACGCAATCATACATATGGGCATCAGTTATAAGCTAATTATAATTTGCATGCTACAATCATTCAAAATGATGTTTCATATAAATTGTTGTCTTGCACTCATATATTATATGAGTTTTCAATTTAGTGATGTAGGTTAACGTTGAATTTTTCCATTTAAAAAACGGAAATCTCATTAGTTGAAGTGGATTATTGATTGAGAAATGCCTTTTGTTCATACATACAACTTTATTTCATTTTTCATCTGACATTACATGTTGTAATATAGAATATTATCTATAAAACAATGAAATATATTTAATACTTTGGGGGAAAAAACAAAAACAATTATAAGTCCATTTTGTATGTAGATCAAAATGAAAACAATGATATGAAAAAGTGTTTTGTACTCTGTGTATAGGCAGGCACATACTAGTGTTCTCTTGCAACAATTAGAATCCCTATAAATATACTGTCCTGAATTACTTAACAGTGTCCTGTTTCTTCTTGATAATCATTTATTTAGTACTTGACAACTAAGATTTTTCTGACAGGTATACTGTGTTAGGTGTAGGGCAGTGTTAGAAGTTCTGAATGTTGATGCTCTTTCTCATTCCCATACACTCCACATCATCAATAAACAGTGTGTTGGCCTTGACCCCTATGTCTTCCTCCAGAGCCAGCTGGTTGCGGATCAGTCCCTTGAGCGAGTCCTCTGTCTGTTTGAGCCTGTCTTGTAGCTGAGCCACGGAGGACTCGATCTCACCCACCTCCTCGATGAGCCTGTACTGGACGGGGTCCCTACACAGCTCCACATTAGGGCGGTTTGTCCTCGTGTCCAGTCTGGTCTGAGAGAGCTGCATTGGCAGAACTTTGTCATCAATGGCTTTCTTCAGACGGGCAATGTTCTCCTCAATTTCCTTAATTTGTGCAACAATCTGAAAATCAACAGAAAAAATATATTGTACAACTCTTCACTTTAAAATTATTTTTTCCATAAATTTACTGGTGACAACAGTAACTCATAGCTTACTAGTCCAATTCAAAGATGTCTTGGCATATTTTGTACCATAGCCTATGTGATGACTTACTTTGTTAAGATGGTCTTCCAGCTTGCTCTTGGTGTCTTTTGTTTCAGAAATCCTCTTGTTGAAGGCCACATTAACCTCACTGCACTGTTTGCGCATATCATTGGAGGTCTGTTGTAGGATTCCATCAATCAAGGTCCTAAGCTCTACAGAACTCTGGCGTTCTCTCTCGGCTTTCTGGATGTTTGCATCAGAGAAATCCTTCCAGTCCTCTGGGCACACAGAACTAAAAATCAATAGAAACAACATCCTCATTCCACATGTGCATTAATATACTTTATTTCAATCCAATGAATGAGATGCAACCAAAATGCATCTTTTCTTTTTTGATAAAAAATATACATACTTGGCTTCAATTTTTGCAGCGCCGTCTTTGAATTTTAATCCTGCTGAATTGTTTCGTAATTCTGCACAGTATTCATCAATTGATAAAGCTCCAAATTTATCCTTCAAATCTTTTTCTAGTTCATATTTAGCTTTTCTGTTTAATCTGTAATAAAAATAAAACATCATTGTATTGAATTTTTTTTTTGACAGGGGAGAACTACCAGTGTGACCTTCAAATAGAGTGTTTAATGATAAATAATTTCAAGGTAAGATGATATGTTTTACTGATTACTGTACCTGATTTGTTCAGTGGTTTGTTCTAGAGTTCGGTTGAGGAGGGCCTGCACACCTTCTATTGTTTCTACCTCTTTGATCAGTTCCTTTTGTACATCATCATGGACTAAGTCAATGGAGGTCCTCTTCTCTCTTTATTAATAAGTATTGTTAAATATTAAATAAGTTAAAAATAAACCACTGAAATTTGTACAAATCTGCTCTGAATCTTTTATTCTATTGATAAATATTTATTTTGTAATTCACTGAAACTTTAGTTTATTAATACTGAAATTGCCATCAAAGCATGCAACCCTAATTCATCATAAACATAATCCATGATCCTAACCTGTTTAGTAAGCATTGCTTAGCTATGTGAAGGGGTTCAGCAGTAGCCTCCAATGCCTTTTCTACTCTGGCCTTGAAAGCAATAAGATTATCAATTTCTGTTACCAGGGCACATAGCTTATCATCCAGTTCCTTCTTCCAGTATTTGATGTCATCAATTCTCTGCTCTGTAAATGAAAAAAAAACATAAATGTTATAAAGTGTGTATAGTGTACACACACATATAAATTTACAACTGTGCATGTAAAATAGCTATACATGTATATATGAAGGTAAAGATGCTTGACAGACCAGGCAGTGAAATACACCCATGCTGTCTGAATCTCCAGATGGATGTGCTACCAACTAATTAAAGCAATATGAGCTGTATCTTCGAGAATTTTATTTTACTGGTAAAATGTGCTACTATAATTAATTTTTATGTTATTTAAACACTTATGACCAATAAGCCCAAAATAAAGTTTAAAAATGTTTCTGAAGAAATATTTCTGTACAACCGAACATACAGTTTTGTATAAGAAATCATTATTGTACAGGACAACAATAATTCAATTTTGCTTCAATCAAAGCTAATAAAAAATTTTCCATCACGAATATGAACAACAGAAGTTTATAAATGATTTATTTTTCTTTCATTAAATTAGTTAATCACAAATTTGCAATAAAATTTTCCAATGTCAAACATGCAGCTCATATTGCTTTAAGCTATTTAATGACACACAATCAAATCCATCTGACCACCACACTCCTCCCTCTTTAAAGGTCTTAAGTCCATAAGAAGACACCAACCCAGACTCTTCCAGGCAGATCTTTCACCTGTCACCTCCATGGCATGGAAGCAGATGTAACAGGAAAGGAGAATAATATGATGGAGCAGACTGAGATTCTAACCTGGACCCTCTCAATCTCCAGTCATGTGCTCTAGCAACTAAATTATTGAATCCAGCTTTTGTCATTGGTGATTGAACTTGCTTATAATTTGACTGCCACAGATGTAAATCTAAGAGCTTTTAATTTTTTTGCCTTTAATTAATAATGATTTGACTATTTTGATGAGTAAGTGTGACCTTTAACTCACTTTGCACCCAACTTTGTATGTGTTTAAGCCAGATCACACTGAACATATGTATAAAAAGTCCAGAGTGTACAATCAAAAATAAAAATAATGCATGGAACAGACTTTACCAAGCTTTTTGTTGACATCTCTCTGTGTCTTTTCAGTGCGTTTTTCTGTTTCGTCAGATAAACGCTTTGACTCCTCTACCAGCCTTTCAGCTGCAGCTCGCTCTGATTCTGCATTTGCATAGTGTGTCAAATTAGATGTTGTCCACTCAGGATGTGTGAAACGAGTTGGTCCCTGGACGAGTTTTGCCATCTTCCTAAGAAATTTTTAACAATTTAATTCTTCGAAGAATTCTTTATCGTTAATTTATTTCAGTTATGTACTGAACAGTATCAATTTCATCTAAACAGAATTAACAACATGTCAGATGAAAAATTAACATATTTTTTTTTAAATTAACTCAAGAGACAAAAAGAAATAAAAGCAATTGACTATTTAGAAATCAAATTAAGAAAAAAGATGATACACACATAATATCGAACCTAGAAGAAATATTTCAGATATAAATACAATGTAACTTACCTTTCTCTGATGTAAACACACCTTTTGTGATTAGCAAACCTTCATGGAGTACTTGGCAACGCTCGTTGCTACAGCAAAATGAGAGCTACTTGTTGATTGGATAAAATGTTGTCATCTAAATCATTGAAACGTTTGTAAGGTATGGTGATTAGAGAAGGAGATTTAAACATTAAATCCCTTCATCGTTTGTAACAATGGTTTCGATAAGTCAGATCATTTCACGCGGGAATTTTAAATGGTATTTAAGTCCCTTTTTTTTTTTTTTTTTTTTGAATAAAAACTACATTAATTTGAAAAATTTAAAATGGATTATATACTATTTTTATTGTTTTCTATATAATTACACTTATTACTATTTAGAAGAAAACTTGCCTACAGTATGAAACAAAGCGCCTGTGTCATTTTGGCATTTTCCTAGACCTTTTCCCTGTCTAATTGTTTTAAAATTTGTATAGAGAGGGCAAAATGTATAGAAAAATGTATAGAAATGTAGAAATGGACTATCTAGAGTAGGATTCAATATCCCCAAGTCTTTTTGTGAACATGGTGAATGTGAATGACAATACTGACGGATATAATTTGTCATTTTTCAGTTTTAATATTAATCATAATATTTCCATACTTACAGGCATAAAAATTAAGAATACACCACCAACCTAACGGAATACTCAAGTGTGTATGTGACCAAACGAGATTGGACTTGTCTGGTAGCCACATTTAAATCCTCTATCCTTATCTATTTTATATACAATTACATCAGATGTATTAACAGACTGTAAATTATTAGTTTTCTCTTTTAAAAAATATTACTAAAATATAAACAGTTGCTAGTGAACATGTTTCCATCACGTTAAATGAATTCATGTAAAAGTATGCAATGGGCATGTACTATCATGGAAAAAAGGGGGTCGTCCATCTTCTTGCCCTTGCTTGTGATGTCTTAAGAATTCCCCAATATGAGAGAGGTGTGGAGATTATTGTGACACAACAAAATATATACCCCTACAGTTGCTTAATAAAACTTTCCATCGTTTGCATGAAGAAGAATTAACTTCAAATAAAGAAAAATACGTACATTTTCAGTGCTAATTAAGGAACATCTATATATTCTATTTTTGTTTTGAAAGAGCTACAATTCAAACAATTATTAAAAGAAAACAAGTATCTTTGCAATTTATTTTCTAACTGCCATTTTCAACATTTATTTGCGTAAGCATTTTCAAACAAACGGATCAGCATGGACGAGAATATCGGTGAATGTCCATCAGATTCACATCAGTGATCACTGCTACAATCATAACGCCCCACCTCTGACATTGTGTATCTCTCAGCGTTTTGTCTTGTTGATGTTGCTGATGTTTTGGAGAAAGTTATAGTAGTTGTACTTGATATCGTACTGCATATCGTACCAGTAATTCACTAAAAAAGAAAAAAATAGTAATCTACAACAGAGACATCTAAAAGATTTACAAGCAAAACGTCAGCTTGTAAGCATAACTCAATAAAATGATTCAAAAAACGAAAAAAAAGTTAACTCAAGTTGCTCTAATCAATGTTACATGTACATTGCTGCTCCATTGGAAGACCAGATAAAAAATATATAAATTTGTTCGGACGAATGAAATATTTGTACATGTTTGGACGAATAAGAAATTCGTTCGTCAATCGAATTAACAAATTAGACATTATATTTGTATATAATATAATTTAATATAATTTGTATTATAATGGTAACAAAACCTGCTATACAGCCATGTGACTGCTGGACATGGTGATACCACAGGGAGGGAAGGAACAGTATCTCTCCCTCCTTCACCGTCACCTCCAAACTAACGGCCTTCCCAAACTCTGGGTATTTCTCTAGGTCTGGATTCAGAGGATTTACGGCGATCCACGGGACCTTATATTAGGATAAAATCAAGAATAAATACTGAATTGCATTCTTTATTCATTAAAATTGTCTTCAATTTAACAATTTTTCAATTCAATAATTTTACAAACCTTGCCCGTTTCCACATCATCTTCTATGATAAACTCACCATTCTTTTCTCTAAATTTCGCTGCTTGGTACGTTTCTGTACAATAAAATTGATTTTTTAAAATAGTACTCTCTACATTAAAGTATATCAATTTAGATTTTTTTCCGGGAAAGATAGGTAACTCCATGATGGAATACCTGGGGTGTATATCAATGTAGTACATATGTACTTACCATAGGGGACGAAGGCTGCATCAGTGGGTGGTATCAAAATGAACTTCTTCCACCCTCTCACAACACAGTACAGGTTTTCATAGTGATCTTTGTGCACTGAAAGTAGGTCAATAAATTTCATTTTCATCTAATTATATTTTTTATCTTTGTTTATTATTTCTAAGTAAAACGTAAATACAATGTAATACAAAATACCTTGGAATTTTACAGTTTGAACTAAAGGATCACTTGTTATCAAACAACTTACTAGAAGTTACTGCATGCATATCCCCCATCCAAAAGTTAACGGCATCTGGTTGCGATCCTACGTAAGTATACAAATAAAAATTTTGTTCTAAATAAGAAATATCCAAGTGCGTGGTGAGTTTTCTTCTTTATTATTATGATGTTGAAATGATACTAGTGCCGGGTACTGTAATAAGATCATACCAAATGCTTCTGTGCCCCACGGAATATCTGGCTCAACGTCGCCCATGATTTCCTTGAACTCGTCGGTGAAATTAGAATTCTGTTTCTGTATGTAAAAGATTCCCTTGTATTGGTCAGGACTGTCCATGATGTCCAGGAATTCGGACATCGTCATCCGTCTCTCCTCCGGCATGATAAACTTTCCCTCCGTGATAGCGTCGGCGTAACCATTGGGTGTCACAGCAACAGTAACCGAACACTCCCCGATCTTCTCTCTGTCACACCAGTGTGTAGCAAAATATCAAATTCAAAGCATACTATACTACATGTAATTTAAAAAAAACCCAACATTTTATGGAGATGTATATTTATATAAGTAACAAATTAGTTGTAGTCAAACATTAGAAATCAACTTGCTGTCTGACCAACATAAATTAAATTTGTTAAATTACTAGTAAGAAAATTTTGGATCCGCCCTCATATAAGAGTGTGTTCCCGGGGGGGGGGGGGGGGGAGGTCCACCCCAGTCCCAAACAAAAATTTCATTCAACCCAGAATTTTCTTGACAAGCATAAAAAAAAAAAACGTAAACTCGCCCAAACTTCAAAATCCTATTTCGTGGTGGTGGTGGTGGTGGTGTGTGTGTTTGTGTGTGTGTGTGTGGGGGGGGGGGGGTTAGGCGATGACTTTTAATGCTTCAAATCTTTAACTTTTCATACCACTTTAATACAAGTTCACGTTTACCAGGGGGGTCTGCGTTTTCCGAGGGGGGTCCAAGTTAACTTTTTTCTTGCTTTTGTATAAAGATTTCATAACCTTGGTAATTCAAGGGAGGGGGGGGGCTGACCCCCCTCTAGATCCGCGCATGTGTTCCTGTCAAGAGTTGTCATATAAAAGTCCCATACCTGAGATAGTCCGGTGTCCATTTGGTTAACGCTGACCAATGTTGGAGTCCGTTCCTGATCAGGACAGGTTTGTTCGGAGTTACGTAATCCCGATAGAAGGAGAGCGGGGAAGGGGGTCCATCTAAAACTGGAACAGCCCTGTCCAGGTAAAGCTCTGTAAAATATGAACAAGGCAAATTCACAACCCTATTTTTTCTCAAAATAAATCCATAAAATTAGAGAAGTTTGGGAGAGGGATCGAAAGCGAGGGAAAAATAACTACAATACATTCATATCAAGATGACTATTTATTATTTTTTAAAGGATATAGATTCAATTAAAGCAAATCAGGGCATTCGAGAGGAGGGGGATTTAATTTGAGAAAAGTTTCCCCCTCGATCTTCATCCAGCATTATAAGAATTTATTTGAAGTTTTTTAGAAACTTTCCGGCATTTTCAAGAAGTTTTTTTTTGGTAAATACAGTTCTTTACATACACACACACTCTCTCTTTCTTCTCACTATGACAGGGCGGATTATTACCGAATTTTTAAAAAGCCGAAAAACTTTTAATTTTTTCAAAAGTGTTTTCTTTATATAAGTACACAGTATATAAACTCTGTCTTTTTCTATCCCTTCAGCATGACAGTGGTGAATCTAGAAGGATCGGATTCCCCTTGGAATTTTCAGAGTTATTATATTTATTTTGCCAAGCTTTCGGCGAAAGCTTGTTAAATTCACTTCTCTAAAGAGCTTTAGAGATTCCCCCCTCCTACATCTCCGGAAAAAACAAGAGCCTTTGCTGAGGAGTTATGTCTATTAGAGCAAAGAAAATAAATTCAGGAAAGTGTCTCTTAAACTCTCATTTTTTGCGTAGTGATTACGTTTTTTTTTCTTTCTTGTCTATCCGCTATTAAATTGTCCCATCTGACATGTTAAAAAAAAATCCTGGATCCATCCCTGTGTGAACAAAGAGAGGTAACTCTAAAATATTCATAATCATTGTATAGAAACAAAAATTTATCCGAAACATGTCAAAATAGTAAAATAACTAACCTCGAGCCTCTAATGACAACTGATCAAAGGCCTTATCAATGGTATCGATTGTTTCTCCACTATAAAATGACATTTATCCAGGAACCATTAACCACGTGTGTCTTTGGTGTATCTACGGAAATTCATACGGCGTACTAAACTGTCTTGTGTAGACTGCTAGTAGACATAATACAAATTACAGGTACATGGCCAAACTCAATTTTGATTGAGATATATATTTTCTCTTTCGGAAACATAATTCAGCCGTCAAGTTAGTATTTTTCTTTTACTTTCATTATATCAAGCTGTCAAGATAGCCGTGATCGTATAGTGGTTAGTACTTCGCGTTGTGGCCGCGACAACCCAGGTTCGAATCCTGGTCACGGCAGTGGCTGTGCAGTCGCTGTTACGGCATGACAGTAAACTTTTTTCTAATAAAGAATGAGTGCACTTTAAGTAAAAAAACAAAATCCCTTGTCATTTGGAACCTTTTCAACTTGTCCAGCTACCCATTTTAAGCTTAACATAACAATATATCACTAAATTAATCTATGATTAATATGCAAGCATATGCTTTATATATTTATTTCTAGAATTTTTTGTCATACATATTTCTATAATTACACAAAATGTAATTGAAAACAACATGTAAAAGCCTTAAATTCCGGAAATTTGAACGGGACCACTTTCTTCACGAATCACGATAAATTGATTATTAAGGAGGTATCCACAAACTTTTTATAGGCGTGAGACATTTTTAAACCGCATGGTTGTGGAATGTAAACATTAGCTCATATGATTTTTTTTTTGTATTTTTTCGAATTGAAATGAAAAAGAGAGAGAGAGATAAGTTGTTTTCGATTTGTTGATTTTATGGTGCACAATTATTAAATGATTCTAATGTTAAGGGTAGATGTCTCGATCGTTCTGCAGACCATATAGTATAGAGGCGACATAAGCCTATACATGTACTTACTTAAATGACACTGTCAATACCAGAATTCTTTCAAAACACCCCTAATGAAAAGCATATAAGGAAAATGATGTAATCAGTAAATATTTAAGCATTGAATCATATTTTGGGATGTCTCAAACACACTGGCACTGCAAAAAATCTCGCGCGTAGTTTGAAGTTGAAAAACGAATTTTTGTGTAAAAGTAATGTCACAACAAATTTGAGACTTATCAACACAATGAAATTTTCAATGAAAGCGTTATCGTATTTTTGTGACGAACAGCAGAAGGTCACGTGGGAAAGGTGATTATAATATCAATCGTTGTTGCTCAGTGACCGGTTAATGTGTGAGTAGCTATCTCGACCCTAGTTTGGGGACATTTTTTTTAAATTTATATGAGCTCAACTTGGCCAACATTGTCCTTTGGTATATAACAGTATAAGTTTAAGTTAAAATACATATTCTGTGCAAATAAGAAAAATGGCCAAGTTTATCTTCTGTAAACAAAGTCGATTTCAAAACTGGTATGCATATGAATAACAATAGAAATGAGACAAAACTGTTCTGTAATTGATGAGACATAAAATGCCATGAATTAGGCTTTATCATAATACTTTCATGTAATATAATATACCAAAACCTACTCTATATAACATTGTTTAATACCTATAAAACATAAATTTAATGAATTTTGGAATTTTATTTTGCGCAAAACATCGGGTTCCAACTCTCATAGCTTAAGTGCACTCATTCTTTTCAATCTATATACAGAGGGATTTCAACACGAGTTTGTATGTTTGTCTGTTACACAGACTACTGCTGTGTACAAGCTTTTCAATTTCGAAACAAACCTACATATTAACAACAACAAAAAAAAACAAACAAAGAAAGAAAATCCCTTGATCTGATCTTCGTCTTTCAACTTGTCCAGCTGGACACGTCACAAATGAGTTTATACATGATGGTGTTGTCAGCAGTAAATGAATTGAAAATTGAATTCATGTATACTTTGCGAAGACCTTAAAGCAATCATTGTAAAAGATCCTAAATACAGCGAGCATTGATCTTTCAATTTCGGCGACAGTCAGAACATTCTTTCCAATAATGAATTCTGTCGAAATTATGTTAAACATTCCATAACATCTGCTATTTACAGAACAAATAATATATTATGAATATACATGCATGTATGCCAAATTTTATTCTGATCTAAATTGTGGTTTTCTATAAATATATCAATAGTTTTTGATCATTCTTCGTATACAATAATTCCTCACGAATCACGATAAATTGATTATTAAGGAGGAATGCCACACCAACTTTTTTATTTTATAGATCTCTGAGTCAACCTTTTTAAACAATGGTTTCAGCATTGAAAGGCCGACATTAGCTCTCAATTATTTTAATTTGATTTTTTTGGTATTTTTTCAAAGAAAATGAAAAAAAAAATTATCCAAATAAGTTGTTTTCGAGTAAAAAGTTGCATTCCACCTTAAAATATAGTCAACTACAGTTTCAAAAACGAAACTCATTTTCACATCTTGTGATTGGTCAGCAGCAGAAATACTTCTTTAATCCGCAATGCGCGAATCTAAGAGGGTAACCCCCTCGGAATTTGCACACAAAAAATTCAGATTGTTAAGTTTCAGTTGGCTCATTTTCTTTACAGAAGAAGATATTTTACAATGTTTAATATTTCTTGCACTAATTATTGTGTTGAATGAAGTTGTTTAAAATATACTGATAGGAAAAAGAAACGCAGGGTAGCTTATAAAAGTGGGCGACGGCTGTGGACACTATTTTCTAAAGGAAATTCCCAACGAAATGGGTCATTTTGAGGCTTTTTCTTTTTAAAATATAGAGAAATGCATCAAATTCATGACGTCATATTCCCAGAATGGTACTCCTTCATTTCATATTCTTTCCTAGTCATAAACTCAACTAATATTTTAGCTAGTTTCAGAAATTTTTGAAGCATTAATTTTTTAGTGCACAATAAAGCTAAAACCATACCTTTTTCTTTCTATTTTTCGTAACCATGGCAGCACCTTTCATCGAAATCGAAAACCGATTACTTCTAACTCTGTCTTCTTGTATGCCAAGTTACATGTAGATTAAAATCAGATCGGAACTGTAGGGGAAATAGCCTTTTAAAGAAATTGTTAAGAAAATTGTATTTTTAGTAACGATGGCAATACCGTTCAACGAGATCAAAATTCAATCGCATCATCTAGGATCTTTCCGTGAGAGGTCGGAAAAACAACCCCGAATGTATTAACATCACCGGATGTTACAAATTTATACATCCTCCTGTTTACATAAATGTTAGATAGAAGGATTTAAAGTCCCTTCTGTGGTATATTTCAGATAATATCTCTACATTCAATAAAATTATACTCAATACTCCACAGATAAGAAGTCTTCACACATTTGTGAAAAGGGGGGGTTGTCATGGCGTCTACGAAATACATTCGAGGTTGTTTTTCTGCTAGTCGGAAAGGCCCGAGAAGTGAAGATTGGCACTTGATTATGTATCTAAGTGTAATCTACTTGATTGCCAAGTTCGATTGAAATCCGACCAAAAATGTATAGGGGTGTAGCCTTTTAAAGACATTCAACGAAATCAAATTAAAACCGATGCACTAAATAATGTACCTTAGTGTATAGTCTACTTGTGTGCCAAGTTAGACTGAAATCAGACCAAAGCTGCAGAAGGAGTAGCATTTTAAAAGAATTCATAAGAAAATTCTATTTTTAGTAACCATGGCAGCACCGTGCATCGAAATCAAAAACTAATTAAATAAACTTTGTATCATAGTGTAGTCTACTTGTGTGCCAAGTTAGATTGATATCATAACAAAACTGTAGGAGGAATAGCATTTGAAAAATTGTTTATAGACAGATCGACAGACAGATCACCAGTCTGTCTTTGTTACGCTAAAAAATTCTGATGGTCGCTCATCAGAATTTCGGAGCGTAACAAAGATTTGATTTTAATCAGATTGGACAGACAGCTAGACGGAGTAGACGGGCGGACGACGGACACCTTACTATCGCATGAGCTCTTGTCTCCAACCAGTATCTAGAGCTAAAATGACTTTACTGTTACTATTATAGTCATCATTTCGTAAGCTCTAAGGTCGATACAATGACCTTGTCAGCAAATACAATTTATCATTGAGTCAAATGGTGACTGACGTTTTTCCGCATATTTATTGTTAGTCCATTGTTTATACAGCTAATTGACAATGGATTTTTCCCGTTATTTCCCGATCATGACAAGGAGCACACGGCGGATGTGAACGGTCGGCAGGGGATGCTTACTCCTCCATGGCACCTCTGATACCACCTCTGATGTTTTTGAGGTCTCACCGTCTGTGTTTATTCTGCTCCTGTTTTGTATTGTTTTATGGACTTTTGATCTTGAATACTGTTCGTTATCTCCATATTTTTCATTATTTCTGAATTAACTTTCATAGAACTTTACCCCGTGGGGATTCGGGTTGGAATAGGTCCTCAGTACCCCCTTGCTTGTCGTAAAAGGTGACTAAATGGGGCGGTCCTTCGGATGAGACCGTATAAACCGAGGCCCCGTGTCACAGCAGGTGTGGCACGAAGGCCGTAAGTGCCGAGCATAGGCCTAAATTTGCAGCCCTTCACCGGCAATGCTGACGTCTCCATATCAATGAAATATTCTGGAGAGGGACGTTAAACAGTATACAATCAATCAATCAATCAATCATAGAACTTTAAGGCCATTATAAGATATTATCCTGTTATGAGTGATTGACGTCATAATGTCATTATGCTATATTGCATAGCTATAAAGTCATCGACTCTTGTCTTGTCCTGTTTCAGACATTCTCATTACTCTTGCTGACTAGTATTCGTTTATCATTTTATTTAATTTATTTGTAAGCTGCTTAAATAACGTCTCTCTCGAGAATTTTTCACTCAAATGGAGACGCCACCACTTGCCAGTGGAGAGCTACACTTTACAACACTTACAACCATTGAAGTTTTTCGTGCCAAAACCTTCTGCGACACGGGACCTCAATTTATACGGTCTCATTCGAAGGTCCGGTCTCCACATCCCACAATGTGATTCAAACCCGCTACGTAAGGATCAACCCCTTACGTCATAATCTTGTCATTATGGTAAACTGCATCGTCATATAGTCATCCGACTTTGGTCTTGTTCTTCTTCCGACCTGCTCATTACTGTGGTAGACTAGAATTCGTTCATCATT